CGCGCGCGCGCGCGTGTGTGTGCGTGTGCGTGCGAGTGTGTGTGTGTGTGTGTGTGTGTGAATATGGATAGATTTTCTTTACGAAAGGCAACACAGCAATATAATTATAACTTCGGTCTTTTGAAACAAGAGGCTTCATGGCAAAGCCTTTTATCCCAGCTCTGAAAATGCCAGGAAATGACCGATTCTGGAATTCGAACTATATAAGGGCTACCATACTACGACATTACAAGGGAAGCGACAAGAAATGCTCCAAATTAAACCACTCGTACAGGCCCCTCTGGTGAAGCAACGCTTAAAAATTAAGAATTCCATTAATAAAACGGCCCATATCTTATTAATTCCCGGTATTTTGATATTCAGATATTGTCTCAAGGTCAAAAACGAGAGCGGTAAAGACCTGGAGTGAAAACCCCATAAGAGCCCATCGCGTTTCCCAACTCGCGAAATGGCCAAATCTGGGAATGAGCGAGGCTTCGTTAGCGAGATACGAGCCCTTTCTGAACGGGTGCTCCAAAACGGGGGTGTGATAGGGGAGGAATTTCCGCTTTTCCAATTTTAGAAAAATGAAACTTTTGACATTTTTCGTGCTTCTTATTTTCATGGCATAGTCTGTACGGTCTCTATTCTATTCTTGCTTAATGCCTTCCCCAAAAATTGCATCATTCTTGAGTTATACGTCAAAACGTGATTTTGCGATCAGCTGATCGCTTGCAGAAGTGGTCGAAGTCTTTGCAGAAGTGGAGTTTTCGCTGTCGGAGACATTACCATATGAATGAAAACCAAGCAGACGTCAGGAGAGAAATTCGCAACTTTATCCTGGAGGAATTTCCACAGCAAGCAGATATAGCTAACATAATAATGATGCCCCTTGTTTCAATTATCCTTACAACTATCATTTTATCCCCGTTATTCTATAAGAAAGGCAATAAAGGAGGTTGTTGTGCCTGTCATGTGGCGGTTCCAAACGCCGCAACTTCCGAGAAAGTCGCCCCAGGGGGACACGTTTTCAGACACATACTACCCTTGGCCTTCCTTCTAGTTGTCTACTTGTATATTATCTTGTTTTGTTGTGACCTGTTCTTAGCCAAGTGTGGCAAAAATGTGCATGCAATCAATCATGTTTCCGGAAGGAGGTGGTGTGTACTGTGCAATCCTCCAGGAAAAAGTTACGAATTTCCCCCCTGACGTCTGCTTGGTTTTCATTCATATGGTAATGTCTCCGACAGCGAAAACTCCACTTCTGCAAAGACTTCGACCACTTCTGCAAGCGATCAGCTGATCGCAAAATCACGTTTTGGCGTATAACTCAAGAATGAAGGAAATCTTGTGGAAGGCATGAAGCAGGAATAGAATAGAGACCGTAAAGATTATACCCTGAAAATAAGAAGCACGAAAAACGTCAAAAGTTTCATTTTTCTAAAATTGGAAAAGCGGAAATTCATCCCCTATCACACCCCCGTTTTGGAGCACCCGTTCAGAAAGGGCTCGTATCTCGCTAACGAAGCCTCGCTCATTCCCAGATTTGGCCATTTCGCGAGTTGGGAAACGCGATGGGCTCTTATGGGGTTTTTACTCCAGGTCTTTCCCGCTCTCGTTCTTGACCTTTAGACAATATCTGGATATCAAAATACCGGGAATTAATAAGAAATGGATCGTTTCATCAATATAATTTCTAATTTTAAGTGTTATTTGAACAGAGGGGCTTCTACGAGTGGTTAAATCTGGAGCATTTCTGGTCACTAATGGTGGCCTTTTCCCTTGTAATATCATAATATATGACCTTTAAGTAGTGCCAAAATTGGTGTAGATATCAGTTTCAATGTAATCATCCTTACAGCTATCCTTTTTTACCATTATTCTATGAGAAATGCAATAAAGGAGGTTGTTGTGACCGTATGTATGCTATCTTGATGCTTATTCATTTTTGGAAAAGGACGAAAATTGATGTGCACATCCATATAAAGGCCGTTTACCAGTTATCCGAAACAAACAAACATACAAACAAATTCAGTGAGGCCAAAGTAAGAAAAATGATGATACAAGAAAGACTGGTGAATATTCATATATTGCATATAACACCTCTACAAGCCACCAACACATATTGGCTCTGTTAGAACATGCTTAACTTGACATACAGGATTCAAACATAAAACTGTATACAGAGGCATTCAGTACATGAACTTCTGTTATATGTGTTACTTGAAGTGCATAGTTACTCTAGTTTACAAAGTTGAACTGTACACAATACATAATTTACAGTTCTGTAAGAATCTACAGTCAAGTAAGTCTGTTCATTTCTACAGTTTTTGTTTTGTATAAATCTACAAGTTTGAATACTGGCTGTGGTTTTGTATGTGTGTAGTTTTGTCACTTTACATCCTACACTCATACATGTACATGTGGCTCTATAAGTTGAACCATCTACAAAACAGATACTACAGTATACATACATGTACACATAGCTGTTAACTTTTCAAAGATCTGTTACACTATACAATCATAATTCTATACATGTATATGCAACAGTCTACAATTTATGATGTTACACCTACATAGTTAGTTCTACCTTCATTTCTCCATAGATGCCAAGATATATTGTCACACAATCGTACACACAATTGTAGACTACTGCCTGTACTGGTAAAAATGTCAGACTACCATCCAAGTTCTATAACAGTCTGTACAGGTCATCATATACTAACTAGTTTGGCAAGCCTACAATCTCAGTTCTATAACAGTCTATACTGGTACATGTGTAGTTTGGCAAGCCTACAATCCTAGTTCTATAACAGTCTATACTGGTACATGTGTAGTTCTGTAAACCTACAAGCCCAGTTCTATAACAGTCTATGTTGGTACATGTGTAGTTCTGTAAGCCTACAAGCCCAGTTCTATAACAGTCTATACTGGTGCATGCATAGTTCTGTAAACCTACAAGCCCAGTTCTGTAACAGTCTATACTGGTACATGTGTAGTTCTGTAAACCTACAAGCCCAGTTCTCTAACAGTCTATACTGGAAACCATACAGTTTGGCAAGCCTACAATCGCTGTTCTAGAACAGTCTATGTTGGTACATGTGTAGTTCTGTAAACCTACAAGCCCAGTTCTATAACAGTCTATACTGGTACACGTGTAGTTTGGCAAGCCTACAAGCCCAGTTCTATAACAGTCTATACTGGTACATGTGTAGTTCTGTAAACCTACAAGCCCAGTTCTATAACAGTCTATACTGGTACATGTGTAGTTTGGCAAGCCTACAAGCCCAGTTCTATAACAGTCTATGTTGGTACCTTTGTAGTTCTGTAAGCCTACAGTCCCAGTTCTATAAGTCTATACAGTACTGGTAACTATACAGTTTGGCAAGCCTACAATTCCAGTTCTATAACAGTCTATACTGGAAAGGTGTAGTTCTGTAAGCCTACAATCTCCAACATTTGACATCCAACAGTCCAAGCATAATATACCATAATGTACATATAGTATATACTGTACATTAACACCACTAACATACACCATGCATAGTGTTAGTATAACATCTTTTCTTCCCAATTCTACATTCTAGGCATTTCATACAGTCAGCCTAACAATACTTTACTCCTATGATAAATAATAAAAAGATACAGTAAATATAAAGGCAGTGTCATATACTGGTGCTGTGCCACAAACTACATAGTTGACAACTGAGTCAAAGGAAATACACATTGAACATGGCAAGTTTGAAAGAAACACAAAACTCTAACCATTTCAAAATATACAATTCCTTGAGACAAACCTATCAATACAGTTAAGTGGACTTTGTGTGGTACATGTAGAATATGGACATCATTCTTTTTTTGCACATTCTAGTTTTCTTCGTTCTTGACAGTCTGCCTGGTGGTCCACTGTTACTTTTGAAGTCAGAGAATTAGAAAGGAAATAGGCAAGCGTATACAATTGGCAAGTAGAATATACTAGATAGTGCTCTAACAAGTATTCGGTATATAAACCACTAAAGTGTGGTGGTACATACTAACTGTACATTTGCACAGTATACTAACTGTTATTGCCACTGCACTATGTCAACATAAACTGCAAAAAGGAAACATGATCAACTTTGGCACTGTCGAAACACACCTGTCATGTTAGTACAACTAATAACATAAATATTCATAATTACAAGTATCCATACCTTAACAGGTTTTGATATTCATATTTCCCTTTGTACATAATGTGAATAAATGTTGTACTATAGTATGTGTAGTGTGTTTGTAATATACCAATTTAAATGTATTGTATTTCCAGATTCTATCATGATATGTAGTCCATGCAAAACATTACATTATGCATCCGTTTCATCAGGTTGGTAAAACTTAAGAGATAGGGGAATTCTTTTTACACAACCAAAGAGTCTCACCTCGCTGACGTTTCGGTGTCTGTCAGACAGTCAGAAAGTCAGCCCCTGTAATGAACCGGGACGAGGGGGGGTACAAACTAAGCCACGTTTGGGATAGTGTTCTCGCCGCAAAAGCGCCACCTACATCGGCTACATATAGCGGCGAGATGCAGTACTCCAGTCAGAAGCTCTGAAGAAGGTGTCTGACAGACACCGAAATGTCAGCGAGGTGAGACTCTTTGGTTGTGTAAAAAGAATTCCCCTATCTCATTACATTATGCAGTTACACATGCTTTCCACCAAAGTCAAAGTGACAAACTCTTATAAGTTATATTGTATAAGGAACGTTAATACCAACACGTTCTACTTTGTATATGTAATAAATAAATAACTATACAAATGTAAATAAGACTAGGGTCAGTGTATGGAGTTAGAGTCTAGGCGTGTCTGACATAGCACGTCGGCAGAACGTACTGCACCTGCGCGAAAACCGTAATGTATTGTACATAGCACTTTGGCAGAATGTCTCATATAAGGAAGTATTCGCGCATATAAGGAAAACATCTCGTCTGTAGTTTCCAAATGTTATGTTGGAAAAGATATCCTCTGCAACAGACAAAATTCTAATGCAACGTTGACCAAAAATCCACCGAAAAACGTGAAAATACAGGGTTCTGCGCAGAACCCTGTATTTTCACGTTTTTCGGTGGATTTTTGGTCAACGTTGCATTAGAATTTTGCCGACGTACTGTCTGACATATTGTTAGAACAGAGCATAGAAAAGGGAAAAACTGATATCCTTCAAGGTGATTGGTCAAGAATAAGCCAATCACCACACACCATTTCATCCTTGGGCCAATCAAATTTTACGAATATTCAAAAACATCACTGCATTCCATCAATATTTACACTTGTATCCTGTATTTTGGATGTTTGTAGAGGCTTTGTTTGTATTTTTCCAATGTTCCTTTTCAGTACATCAAAATAGACAGAATGCATTATTATTGCATGTTCTCTTGGAACATAAGAATCCAAATGTTTGTATGAGCATTCTCTTATTTTCCACCCTACACTCATAATTTGACATGGCACAAATAGATTTTCCATTCATAATCATTTTTAAATTCATCTGCAATGAGATTTAACATTGATGGGTCTTTGGGGAAAATTATCACTTTTGATGAGGAAAGTTACTAGTTTAGAAAAGCTTCAATTTACTAGGCTTAATTTTTGTAAAACATTTATGGCAACTCAAATTTAAACCACTCCAACTGACAAAACCAAACTTCTCCTACTTTACAGAATACCAAACTAAAGTAGAACATTCTTGACCATTCTGTCCTCTCACCCAATCACTTTACTGCACTAACAAAAAGAATGGAGAAAAACGTACTGTTTCAATGAGGATATCTCCTTTCAGATTCAATTTTTTTGCATATTCATCATTGTTTTAATGTCCGGCAATAGTTCCATGAGGTTGGTAAGTCACTGAATGAAGAGACTCTTTTTATACAACCTGGTTGTGTAAAAAGAATCTCTATTAATTGTTTTTAAAGTAACACCATGTCTTAATGTATAAATCAACACCCTTAATTCATGGAGATCTGTGGTTTTGTTGTTTTAACATGGAAATAAAAAGCTTTTTACAGTAATGACCTAATGATCATCGAAACCTGGCATGGGAAATGTGCGGGCAAAACTCTCCACGCGAGAACGGAGGTCGGAAATCTTGCTGACAGTCTCTTCATCTTCCAACAGGAACTTCTTGAAATCTACCATCTTGGGTCCTGCAGGGAAAACAATCATCATTAACAAGAAATAAAAGACAAGAAATAAATTTTTTGAGTTGTTGCAAATGTCTTGTTTCATGTATCACTGACATTAACAGACATGAATATAGCAGGAAGTGAAGTCTAACTAAGGTGACCTGAGTACCATTCACTTACTTCCAGTCTGCAGGGAGACTATTCTGACCCCCGATCCAACCTTCCTGTCAATCTACAGTTACAAAATCCCTCCCTCTCTTCCTGCCACTCTAATACATTCAAGTACCTATGGACACACAAGCAAACACACACACAAACTCACCAGTCTTCGCCTTCACCTGCAGCCCAACCTCCACAGCCTCGTCAATAAAGTCCACCACCTGCCGGAAGTTGTCCTCCTTCAGACAACGTGACGTCAGCGCCGGGGCTCCTATAGATGCAGACACACAGGCAAGGCAATCAGAGATGGCAGACTTCACCCCCTTAACCATCCTGCTTTACCACCCTTCCAGACCCCCAGACAAAAAAACAGCAACATGTGGATGTGTGACAATGCTGTAAGGGAATGTATGCATTACCGGTAGTGCAATTTTTCCTTTTTTTTTCATTTTTCATTTCTTCTATCATAATAATAGAAGAAATACCTCCACGGCAATGCTGATAAGGAATGCATTAGCGCAATTTTTTATTTTTTTTCAAAGTGAACAGATGACCTGGCGTCTATGGGATTATCCTTGCGATCAGCAAAGAAGGTGCCCAAGTACAGACCCATGGAAGGAAAAAGTCCTGGCCTTATGTCTCACAAGGGATGAAGAGGATAAGAAAGTAAGTTGCCGTACCCAGCCTGAGCCCTCCAGGTGTGAGCGCGCTCTTGTCCCCGGGACAGGTGTTCTTGTTGCAGGTGATGGAGGCTAGTTCACACACCCGCTCCACACGCGCGCCGTCGATGCCCTTCGGACGCAGATCCACCAGAACCAGGTGGTTGTCTGTGCCATCTGTGGAGGGGGACAGAAATAACAAGTGAGATATTGTAGTACTTCTTTAAAGGGAATATCAAGCCTTTAGTCCTGTGTATGGGGATACTGAGGTGCTATTACTTTGCAGTTTAGAATACAATGGAAACTGTTACTTTACGCAAATGACATAATTGCATTTCATTATGTACCTGTATCATATTACCCCAGGAACCACATACAATGTATCACCACTGAGGCAGTTTTCAAAGGGCCCTGTAGGCATACATATATTTTGTAGATAAACCAATAGCATAATAATAAGTTACAAAATATAAGACAACCGCGCAAATATAATCTGCTTACAGTCTTTGTGCAGCATTCACTGTGAAGGTAAGCGTATAACCAAGTAACATTGCCTCACCTGAAACTAGTTTGTAGCCTTTAGCCATCAGTGCATCTGCCATGGCCTTTGTGTTGCTCATGACCTGTTCTTGGTACTCACGGAACATGGGAGACTGTGCCTGGAGAGAGTAATCAAAGAAATGATGTCAGCAAAATGCTAAATTGTTGACTTATCGTAGTCTAACTGTCCAACTGTCTAAAATTTAGTTCCTTCAATACCAGCACTATCTTTTTACAAAATTGCATGCAAGTTACAAAACAAGTGATTTACACCATCTCTAAACATACTGTAAATCACGGTAGCAAATGTTCACGGTCTGAGAAAAATGGAGGTGTTCACGGAAATATATGTTCACAGTGGCGGCTAAGATACAGAAGAAAGTCAGGAAACTATTTGTAAATGTGAATGATAAGTTTGCGGTACAGAAGTGACTGAAAAAAAAACAGGAGCATAAAAGTACTGTGAAAATATTACAGTGCCTTTATCACTGGCCTAGTGACTGAATAATACCACACAGAAAGGCTCCGCTCCTGAGGTGTTACCAAAAAGTAAAACCTACCTGTTTGAGGGCCACGGCCACAGCTGCGATGGCGTGATTGTGGGGGCCGCCTTGTAGGGACGGAAACACTGAGAAGTTGATTTTGCGCTCAAAGTCGTACATGATGTCCTTCCCCGTCTTCTTGTTCTGTCCTTTGACCCCCCGTCGGAAAAAGATCAGTCCAGCTCTGAAACAGACGTAACAATTGAAGAAAAAAAAATCCTTCCTAGACCTTGGTATATATAGAGCAGCACCCATCTATGTTTCTCTCCCTAGCCCTTGGGCCACACAGTTGTGCAAGAATTACAGCAGGGGGCTAGTACACTAACTTTGTGACCAGTGTTGAGTTCAACTACCATACTTTTTCTCAAGTACTGAGTCTAATTCTTCGGTAGGACTCTGTATTCATTATTTCTAAAACAGACAGCGAGAGATTAGCACTTGGAATCCTTCTTCTAGTTCAAGCTCCTCTGCAGCAAAGACAGAGGTAAAAACAAATCATGATTGTCACAATTACTTTTAAACCTCAAACCTATGGTACATCCTCACCTTGCCCCTCGCAGGGTTTTGTGTGTAGTTGTGGTGACGACGTCGGCGTACTCAAACGGACTGGGGATGAGGTCAGCAGCCACCAGGCCTGAGATGTGCGCCATGTCTGCCAGAAGGTAGGCACCGTGCTCATCACAGATCTGTCACACAAACAGGACATCTTAACATTACAGTGAAATCTCTTTACACACATAGTCCAAGCCGAGGCTCCATATTGTGTAAAATGGAAATCACAGAAGTCCTGGGGAGAGAACCTTTGCACAGAAAAATGGGGGTGGGGGTTGGTTTAGCATCTGTCTTTCCCTCATTTGCCGGAATTTTATCGTTCATGATGAACAACAATTTTGCCCGACCCGTCATCTTTGACAGACAAAAATTTGTGTGTAAAGATATGGAAAGAGTCTTTTGAAAGAGATGCCATGAAACTAAGCTTAGTCTACCAGCAAAATTTACCCTGCAAAATGCAGAAAATAGCATTTCAGAGGGTCAAGATTTCACAATTTTCAAGGGGAGCTTTGCCCTGAATGTTAATCAAGAAAATATTTCAGGCTGACTAGAACACAACCACCCTTCATTTCTTAACCCATCCCTACTTGACACTGACTCACTTCTCTCATCCTTTTGTAGTCGATCAGCCTGGCGTAGGCGCTGGTTCCAGCGATGATCATACGGGGACGGAACAGGCGCGCTGTCTCCGCAAGCTTGTCATAGTCAATCAGACCTGTCTCCGGCTGGGGGGAAATCAACAGAGATATCAGTATAAAACACTGAACAGTATCAATTCAACAGTTTACACAGAGATACATGAATCAGTATGAAACACTGGACAGAGGGTATAACAAGAAGTATTACAAGTCCATTTCTATATTCCTTATCTTATCAATGTAACATTTGACAAAGTGACTTTTTGTATTATGGATAATTAACTTCAATCTTTGATGGAAGTATCACAAAATTGTGTTTCTGTACTATCTTAATAAACTTTTCTGAAAAATTACAAAATATGGGGCAGTCACTTTTGTGTTGCAGCAAAATGTTAGATATAATACATACATTAACTTAACCTAAATGTACAGAGCTGCCAGTACTTACATTCAGCCTGTATGGCATGGACTCAAAGTAGATGGACGTCGCAGAGATTCTCTTGGTGTCAGTCATGAAACCATGGGTAAGACTGGAAAAAAAAACAAGTTTCCTTTTAATATTTCAGTTCAGAAGGCATTTTATTTTTAAAATTCATCTAAATAAGTAATGACCAATTACTTCCATATGTAAACTGGTAAGAGTTACAGACACGTGCCCTTATTCCCACGAGACTTTACAGATACTTACATTTTGCTGTATAGTTATAAAATAATTGATTTTAATTATAGGTGTAATTTATATGAAAATTGTTATTTGTGTATATATCTTGCTCTAACTATTTATTGTTGTTTTTCTATGTCATATGTCCAGGTATGTGTTAGGTGTGCACGCTATCAGCATACTAGTACTTGCTGCCTAGTGCACACTTTGTATTGTCATGTTGCAATTTTGAATAAATAAAAGATACTCACTGTCCCCCATCAGGCAGGTCCAGGCCCATGATCCTGTCGTGTGGGTTGAGCAGGGCGGTGTAGACAGCGAAGTTAGCAGGAGAGCCTGAGTACGGCTGGACGTTCACCCCCCACTTCTCTGGGTCCAGGCGGAAGGCCTGCTGAGCACGCTGCTGGCACAGGAGCTCAATCTGGTCCACAATCTCTGCTCCTCCATAGTACCTGTGGGGGATACATTACAACAAGGTTGTAGAGTTTAAACTACACAAGAAAGGAACTTATTAGTCGATCTTGTCAACCTTCATCAGATGTATGAGCCACTGCACTGACTATCCGGAAGCCAGAAGTGTAATGACAGTTTTGCTAACATTCTACTTTATCAATCAATCAATCAATCAATCAATCTTTATTGTACAACAATTGCAACAGGTACAATGTATGGCAAGTATAGACAAGAATAACAATACTAAAATCTACTTCTAAATGACTAACTCTAGACGCTACGCTGTAATTGTGTACTATGAGTTATACAATATATATGGAACATGGATACAGTATTAACATCCATTCGAAGTGTCAGAGATGATATGGTTTCTTTTCTGGAGAGCGGAAGATATTCATCTTATATGGTGTCCCCAACAATTTTTTTGTGCACCCATTTTTTCTGTGCACTCCATCCATCACCCAGTGCACCTATTCCCAAAAATAAATTTTGAGTCCTGTATTCTGAGTCAACCACCCTAACCACAAGACCACTAATGTCACTTTGGTGTTTGCTTGTTAACAGCTCTGAATGCCCTTAGAGCAAAATGCTTAACAAGCGTAGCCAGTGATATCTGGAAAATTCAAATCATAGCTACTTAATATCTGCATTGCTAAGATATAAGTGGCTCAAGTTACTGCAAGTCAAAGAGCTATTTGTTCATTTTGTTTGCAATTTTTGAGAAGTAGGTCATGTAAATTTGTATGTACAGAAAAAGTAAACAAGCTAGAAGGAGATACTTAATTCTGTCTTGAAGTAGTTTTTCACTAGCTATAGATCTAGAATTTTGAAGGATAAAGACGTTACCCCCGGTAACTGAAAGTTGCGAAAAGAAATACAATACCCTTGTGTTTGCACAAGTTGGTTGTTTGACCTAATTCTATTGACATAAAGCTACCACTGAGCCAGGTCCTTTATTGTGTACATACTAGTAGACTATTTTTGTGACTGGTTCGTCTGGGCAACAATGTATCATAGACCTGTATGTTGTCTTGTTCTGTTTCATAAAAAACTATAGTTCCTCATAGTCCTTTCCTAGGAAATACTAGTATTATTACTTCAAGTGCATTAACACACCAGGATTTCATGATGGAATGAAGTCACTTTCAAGCAACCTAACCGTTATTTTTGAATCACTAAACCCTACATGTGAATCTGTATCCAAATAATGACCTACTTTATTTAATGACTTGAACAACCATTTTGTATACAGATATATATACCTTTGTCCTGGGTAACCTTCAGAGTACTTGTTGTTCAGACAGGAACCCAGAGCTTCCAGGGCTGCCTTGCTGCAGAAATTCTACAGAAAAAAATACAATCATTGATTGCTGATCAGTTTTAAGACCTTGGATTTAGTCAAGTGAAATACAATCATTGATCACTGGAGGATCTTTGCAAATGCCTTCATCCTTTCTGTATAACTTAATGTAATGTAATCTGCTAAAAATCTGCAAAATGTTAAAGAATCTGAAGAGCAAATTAATGCTAAGTAGAAACTGGTATCCTGAACAAATTATAACCACTAGACCACACCTGGCTGTTCATAGAAATGAGTTATTCTTGCAGTGAGTAGATTGATGCACCCCAATTGAATAATCTAAATAAGTTACTGCAATTTTTATGTTTTTGTTTTGTAGACCATTGTGGACAGGTTTATTGGATCTGCCTATTTTGTATTTATCTAACTCCCTGACACAGTCGCCCAGAGTCTGTGGTTTGAGGCTATACCCTGTACCTCAGAAGCGATGAGTTCCAGCCCGCGGAGCTGCCTGTCCTTCTCCTTCTGTAGCAGACTCCACATGTCAGGGTCAGAGTCAGCCAGGCTCTCCTGACCTGTCCACGCCTTGTCATCCTGCAGAAATACAAGAAGAAGATTTAAACAAATACTAAGTAGTAGACATGTTGACTGTACATTTTGGTTGACTAGAATTGAATGCAAATACTAGTATTGAAAACACACATTTCCAGTGAATCTTAGTTCAAATCTCTTTCTGGCATTTGATATTTTAGATGCTGATACTGGATGCCACCATAATCCCCGACTAGGTATTATTTAACAAGGTATAATCTGACTAGGTAAAGGTAAAGGTATTTTTGAAAATTCTTGATTTACTCTGTGACATTTGTAACTGGTTAGCCTGGGTGCCATCCTCCATAGTTTCTGCCCGCTCCCTAATGTCACTGGGTGCCCAGAGACATTATGGAGTAGGCGCACCCAGCAACATTAGGGAGCAGGCGCACACAGGCTATTTACAATGTACCTGTTAGGTCACATTCCAGCAACACTAGATCACGTTCAGTTGTTGATTCTGAAGTTTGAAGATTTAGCGCACATTGTTAATGTTAGGTTTTTTTTACCATAACTGTGGCTCTCATGACATGATTTCCAGCTTAACGTCCCTTCCAAACTTCCCCAATCAGGGTTTTGAAGACCAGTTACATGTATACATGTACATCCTTACCTGGTTCTGTGCAGTGGCTGACATGACCCATCGCTGTTGGGACACGCTTGTCGTGACACGTGGCAACAGTTGGCAATTTGTCCTCAAAGCCTGGAACAACAAGTAAACAAAAAATAGTCAATAAATGAATAAGACAAAGATGTCAATATCATTAATAATTGGGCTCTCATTCTCAAGTAGATTCAAATATAACGGAAATATCAATATATATTTAATAGGATGATTAGTTTGACTTCAGGTATCTCATGAACAGAATCTATATATGGTGATGACAGAATCTCAGACCAAAGTAGGCATTGACTTCAAATTGATTGCCAAAGCAATTCTTTATCCAGTGCTAAATCTTTGTGGCAGTTATAACATATTTCAGTACAGGGAAATGACCTTATAATGCCTCAGTACCAAAGGTCAAAATGACTAATACACTGTGCCCATATCTAAACAAAAAAGGATACAATACACCGGTACCAAAGCTCAAGGTAAACACTGTTGTTATCCTTTAAATCTGCAGTTCCTTTTCGCCCTTATTCGAAAATATTGACTTGTCCAGTTGCACCTTGGACCACGCGCTGTTTTTAAGGAACTGTCAACAAGTCACCAGAGTTCATTGATAACCATTCTTCTCTAATTTATTTATGAGTAGCGCACATGACAGTGACAAAACATAGAACTCGCATCTGGAACAATGGTCTTTTATTTTATTCACATAATAGCATTTAACAACAGATATAATTTATGTTTAAATGAATTACTTAATAGATTTTATATAACAGTACAGCTTGCTAAGTACTTAAAACTGATTCAAGTTTGAGAGGATTGTAAATTTTAACTGATTGCAAATTTATTATACCCATGAATGCCATACTACAAAATACATCTCTAGCAAAGCAATATGTAGTTTATTTCACAAATATCTGTATAAAAATAATTAAATATAGGAATGATAACTGAGATTCAACGTTGTGTATAAGTTGGGGAATTAAAACAGTCAAGGACGTTCATATTATAATTTAGAAGGGTCGGGTTACTTCGAACCAAATTAGGTCACAAAGTTTCGATATAATTTTGGCACAGCATACAGCACATTTCCACGCTGTTTACCTTCGTGCTATTCCTCTTAAACAAGTGATCTAATTCTAGTTCTAGTCTTCACATAACAAACTTATGCAATGCCAAGCAATAAAGAGTGAAAGTCGATTTCTTTGCAACTGTAGTTGACGTGGTACGTGTACAGTACGTAACTGGACTAAGAGATAAACACCCCCATCGTGACCCAAAAAAGAAACAGAGCGTTACCTTACTAAGGACAGCGGTTGCAGCCGATCGTAACATGGTGTTGGAGGATGAATAAACCTGTGAATTAATACAAGACGTTTATAAATGCAACTTAAAGTTGGATCTTTTCCGTACAGGGGTTGAACTGGAGACGAACGTCACCGAACTGCTTTTCGCACGTTGTCAAAGAAGGCAGCAAAACAACAATAATTTACCTTCGTCTATTTAGCTTATTGATTTCCACAAATCGCTTGTTATCATAATAATACATGCACAATATATTAGTTGTATTTATAATGATCAATATTCTTGACAGTTTTCGTCAGATCAATCTAAATGTGCTAAACAATGTTGGTTACGGTTTTATCGCCCTCTTGTAGTGTCCCGACACAGAAGCTAGCGTCACATTCGCGGAAGCGCTTTCGTAATGGAAATTTTCGCAGCTGTGGAAATTTCCGAATAGTGCGATATTTTTAGGGCCCCGACGGGGTATGTGACGTTAAGTAACGGTTATCGCTGCAATGTTACGTGTGTTCTTAATCTTTTCATTTATGTTTCAATCGTGTTCTAGGGTCTTCTAGGCTTCATCTGGTTTCAGAAGAGACTCGGCCCCGTTATATTTATTCCCTGGGGACTGCCGGGGGCGTGTTGTGTAAGCAAGGAGTTATCTCCTTGGTGCAAGCATGGAGGTAAAAGAGAGAATCTCATTTTTCTACCTCCATGGTGCAAGCGACACGAAGACATTTCGCAAGTGTTCGTGTCCTTATCGCTAGAACCAATAACAGAAATAGATGCCACGCTCAAAAACATTTCTCTGTTAATTTTGAAAACAATGTTTTGGAGGACTTTTGCGGGACCCAGTCGCTGACACCGTTTTCCGCAGCAGCTGCGATCACGTCTACCCCATATGCCAGGGCCGCAGCTGTTTCGTAACCGGTACACGTGATAATATATACATGTACCGCCCAAAGCGAGCAACTGCATCTACTAGATTATGACGGTTTGCGATTTAATAAAATGATTAGCATTTGAGCAATCAATCGTGAAGGATATTAACCTCCAGGCTTTGAGTATACATAACGATAAACAAGACATATGTACATATTTGCCACAGCATCTCAACAATATCAAACTTTCCAACTAATAAAAAACGTTCATGTTGAATCGAAAAAAAAACTAATCAACGTTCAGAAAAATGTCAATAAAATTTCTAATGAAGCAATAAGTGATGAAATTTAAGGGTACAAGAGAATTGTTTCGATCATTAAAAACTCATTTTGAAGACTGGTCAGAAAGGATCATGCGATTTTTCCAGCTTAAGTGCTTTGATATTGCTCGTCTTTTTTACCCTCCCGCATTACTTATTTCCTAGTCCAGGAAGCAATTTTCTTTTCAGGTTTATCCACTACCTCCTCCCCTCCGGATCCATTCTTCCTTCATTCAAAAGTATGTACAATGTCATCTATATAGCTATAATAGTCCAGTTACCACATTATGATTTCTCATGGTTACAGAATACTCCACTAGTACTCATATAAAGATTGATGGCTCAACAAATTACACATCAACGACCGTGTTAAAGGTAATTTGTTTACTCATCATCATACTAGTTTAAAGAGACGAAACTGTGTCAAAAATATCACCTATTAAAGTTGTACAAACACTGATCAAGCTTCTCGACCGCTGGGCCTGAAATAGCTTCTGTTTGGGTTATCATAAGTATAATTGGTGACCGATACGGGAGGTTTGTGGTCATAATTGATATGGGATAGAAATCCGGTCACCAAACCCGACGGGACTACCTGGGTCACCTTACATCTGTGTACCCGGCTTCAATGGGCGATCTCCGCATCCACAATGCGAACGCGATACCGACCCAACTATTGCCTTACGGCTCCCGCTGTTGTGAACACCTACTCTTGTAACCAAAGCTGGTCCGTTCTGCTTCGATACAAATAGTAACCAAACAAAAACAATAGCTGTGTACGGTCCGACAAACCTGAATTCACCGCGGCAGTGTCTCCAACCAAGTTCTGATGCGTCAGACGTCAGATTCGGTTGGACAGAGTTAAGAAGAGTTAGGCGTCAAGTTCGTGGAAGTTTGACGTTTTCAGACTATCTTCTGGATACTATAAGACGAGGTTTGCTTTTCAACTGAGTTCAAGTTGTCGAGTCTACCAGGATGACAAGTTATGAGTACTTGACAGGGAACAGCTCACTAAGGTGTCGGAGTAAGTTAGAGCCCTTCCCTCCTCCGTGGAAGCCGCAAAGAAGAGGAAATGACAGACAGCAAAGATTCGTTCTGGACAGCATCTGGGCCCAGGTGAGAACATCTAACCTTACTTTCTATAAAAGTACTATGTAAGTCCGCAATATTTTGTGTTACCCTCCAAACAAAACCTCGTGATGTGGTTCACACTGGAAGTACACCGGACAAAAGATAAGCGTGAATCCGGCAATCAAAAAGCATCACATAATTCGGATATGAAGAATAGTGTCTAAAAGTTTTGTTTGTTTGAGTACAAGGTATGATGGTTTTTAATGATTGGTGTCACCAACAAACTACATGGTACCGTTATTGCATACGGCCTGTTTACACAAGCGTGAAATGGTATTGTTAAGGCTACGGTGTATGGAGAGAACAACTAATTAGTAAGTTTAGAACATCGGCTGATTGCTGGAGCGTCATAAAAAGTTAAGTCGTATAAATCCTTCATACACTGCTAGCCATGCTACTTCCCCAAGAAAATATGCCCAAATTGAGTTTGAACATACATCGAAGCTATAGGACAAGTTGATTTTTCATCAGATGGTCCAGTTTCATCCCGTTGTATTTCATGTAAAAGTTTTCTCCTTTTTGTATTTCATATAAGATGTAACAATATATAGTAGTTATGGCCTTCTATGTATATTGGCTCTAGTTGAAACACTGCAGTCTATCAGAAAGAGCTATAGACTGTCCCTATATTGGTATGTCTACAACAGTATATGCTCGAGCGGGCCTATTACGCTGGGATGAATGCCATCATTGTTAGGCTTTTGGCATGCACCCGATTGTGAGCTTGTTGTTGGTAGGGAGCGGCCAGATCGCTGTCTGAAGTTGAAGGCTACTACTACTATTATGTTGTGTCAATAAAGTTCTCATGTATTGCATACATGGAAGACAAAGTAATTTCTGTCACTCCTATCGACGAACTTTGCCCAACCGATTGACTACGTATCATACTGTCTAAGGTGTCAGATTCTTTCATGGATACTTGCACATACAAACACTGTGACATGTCACTACGCAAGGCTGTATGTACGTGTACGGGTAGATTGATTGGACTCCAAGCTTCACATAATAAGCTAATCTATAGCCTGTAAAACGTATTTCAAGTTTGCACCGGTACCACAGAGCCGTGGTTTGCAATCGCCCAATGTTTTAGCTAAGGGTTTTTACTATTGAATAGTCATATCTAAGGACAAAAGCCCTCAACAATTATGTAAACCTAACACAGACGGTTAGAACTGATTGTTTCAATGTGAGATGTTTGTGTCCACAGTTCCAGCGGAGGAGAACTCGGCCCGCCATGTCTAAGTACGACTCACTCCTTCACCCTGACGCGCAGGCCTACTTCCGCTCACCTATCGTCAGAGATGTCTTGAAGAAAACCCTTAAACAGGTACGTGAAGTTGAGACTAGGTCTTAAACAGACGCGAGAAAAGTAAGGCCCTGAAGAAGTCCTACGTAAGGCACGAACGACCGAAGAAGCTAACAACGGGCAGATGGTCTTAACATAAATGTACTCAGTAACGCTGTATCTAGATCTCTGCTAGATTCTCGATTACGATTTAGATAAGCCAACGCAGCAGTACCCATCTAACTCGCGCACTATAAACTATACAGGTACTACACTATACTCGTATTACATCTGCCAGTGTTTCATGTGTTGTTTCGTTCTAGGTTCAGGCCAGTGACATGGACGAAGCTGAGAAGTCTGCTGTGATACAGAAGATGTTGATGGCAAGCGGACCGAAAGGCTCCAGACTCCTGCAGCAAAGCGTCGTGGTGGACAACCTGTCTGAGGTTCCCGGGTGAGGATACTCGTACCATTATTCCCCCTTCCAACACTGCAAACTCACTGTCTTCTTCATCTTCTCTATGTTTGTCCTCTGTCTTTTTAAACGCTTCGCGCATTACCCATCTTTTCCATTCTCTTCCTGTTTTCCTGAGTCAGCTTTAAATTTTCCGCCTCTTCTCCCATCTTTCGTCCTTCGTCAGAATATTTCCTCAGTTTTCATCTTTTACCTCTCTGCCTTCTCCTTAGGTCAATCTACTCTAATTTACTTTTTCATCTTCGTCTTTTTCCTCCATTAACTCTTACTCTTAACGTTAACGTTGTTTGTTGGTACCCTTTTATTAATCTGACAATACAGAGGATAATAGATCACACGTTAGATCGCAGAGGGCCGGGATGGATAGATAGATAGATAGATAGATGGATGGATGGATGGATTGGTCAGCTTATTGAAATAAACACGTGTTTTCCAGGTGGCCGTCCCACCCCGACCTGCACTATGACCCCAGGAAGGACCAAAAGGCCAAGGGTTACTTCACTCTGCGGGGGGTCCAGGACCACATCCAGCTCACCTGTTCTCTACATCCGGTACGTTTACAAATGTATCATATGATATTCAGTTCATTGAAATTTCTTATATGCTGCTATCATTGATAAATTGAAATGGGTCAAATTATGTTATAATACTTTAATAGTTGTTATGCTACTCATTCTTGTGGTTACCACACCAGCTTTCACGATGATGTACAATTTGCTCATTTTGTAGGGCCAATGACATTTGAAATACTTTAGACATCCTTGGTAGAGCCCATAGCGCTGTGACCTGTAAAACAAGCTTTATCTTTTCATCATGTGTAAAAGCAGGTCTTGCGTTTCCCGAGTGTGACACAGCAGAACAGCGAACCGTGTACTTTGGTATGGGCGGAATGGGCATATAAATATATCCCCATAGGCTGCCGGTAATGAGCATAATCCCGTACAAACAACAGGCAGCGATGGGCAACCGCGAACCGGTCCGACAACTTGTCACTATTCTGGGCCCGCACGAACGTTGCTAGGCGCTTCTTGTTTACGGGGCGACTCAGGTCAGTCGGGACGGAGTCATCCTTTCACAAGTGTGCGTCTAAACTCAGCTACTGTTTTCAAAACAGAACCTTTAAACCTATAAAGTAGCTTTAAATCGGTGAAGTTGAGTTGTTTCTCGTGTTTGGAACCACTCAGGGCGAGAGGGAGCTGCCGACGAAGATGGCCCGGCGGTCTGGAGGGTTCGTTCCCGAACGCACGGCGGAGGAACTGCAGCGGTTGGAGCAAGGCTTCGTCCTGGACAGCATAGCCGTCAGCAATATCTCCAAGGACTACTCCAAGGCTCAGCCTAAACTTGGGCCCGCCATCCCGCCTTACAACTCGCAAAAGGACAAGAATGCGGACAGCTACTTCAAGTTCCAGTGGGCGCCCACCGTTCTGAAGAGAAGCAAACAGGTGAGACACCTGGTATGAATTTTGTAAACATACCACGACAAGAACTACCATGCACACACCGCGCTAACCCAACAATATCTTCGAGAACATGTACAGTGAGCTGTTTTGCCTCTTTTTCCTCAGTATTACATTTCTATGATTCCATAACAAATAGAAATCGAGTGGCAAAACTCATTGGTATTGTCTTCAAACGTTCTAAAGTTGCACTGCCAGAGAGCCAAAGGGCATAGATCGTGGTTTGACCCATGGCGCTAGTAGATAATTTATTCCTAACTACATCCAGATAGTGTATAAAAGTCCTTGTCCGACATGTACTTATTTTAGAGTAATTTGTAAGTTACAACAAGAAAGCAAATAAGTGAGAAGTTATAATAGCCCATTATCCACTTTTTGATTGCACCATTACGTACTTGAGTATCGAGTTTATGGTATCCAAATTACTTCGTGCTATGGGAATGTTGACATTTATATTGGACTTCAGACCATGTATTGAAGTAGCCTGGGTACCATCCCCAGTAGTATATTCGCAAACTCTATAACTGGGTCTGGACTTGCACACATATAAAACGATTGGTCATGACGTCACGTAATGAGCTAGCCCGAGCAGCGGGGCTTCATTTGATTGGCTGAGCCTCAGAGGCGACGGCCAATGGCGCACCTGCATTATTCAAGTGATGTTTGTTGTTTTGTAAACACAGATCTTCGCGCGAGTGTTCCTTTTCTCGGTGCGTTCTTTTTTTACCGGTAGGACGCCCAAAACATCACGAACAAAATTATTCAATGCATCTTTTTGCTCATTTTTGAGCGACGATATTCCGTCTAAAACGTCCAAAACGGACGTGATTGCAAGGTCAACATCAACCTCCGTGAGCTGAGCGGCTTGTGCGTTAGCCATGTTGATGATTTATCACGGAAAGACTGACTACGGCTATATCATGTGCGCTTTAGCGTTCGGTTCGCCGTCGGACATGTTGATGATAAGGCGTTCGGACGTTCGAACGGACGCTAACGTCGCCGTTCGGACATCCGAACAGCCCTTACCTAATATGTACACACCCTAAAAAGGGCTTAGACGAGTAGGACCAATCAGCGCGCTCGTTCAAAATCTGAACGAATATTTAGACTCCAGACGCTACATATGTGTGCAAGTCCAGACCCAGTTATAGAGTTTGCGAATATACTACTGGGGATGGTACCCAGGCTAGTATTGAAGTGGATGAATAAAAGTAAGGGAGCCACACATTTGACAATCCGATGTGTATTACATTACTAGTATTTGGAAAGGAGGGCGAATGATCTGTACGGTCAAAAGTACTAGTAATTGTAATCATCATGTACTGTATACTAAAAGTAACTAGCTAGATTTTTGTGATCCAGCGTCAATTGAGATTTTCTTTCGCCAACTTCTCATTAGGGCTACAATGTACTAGTATTCCAGTTGTATTTGGAACTAACTGTGGTATAATGCTTCTCTTCAGGACAAAGGCGGTACTTCTGTGATCCAGCGACAATTGAGATTTTCTTTCGCTAGCTTCTCATTAGGGCTACAATGTAGTAGTATTCCAGTTGTATTTGGAACTGACTGTGTTACACTATGCTTCTCTCTAGGATAAGGGCGGTACTTCTATCGAGGGACCAGTGATAGACCGTTTCCATACCTACGGCGGCGGGCACCAGTACCTGTCCAAGCGGAACCAGTTTGGCGCAGGTGTGTTTTGAGATGTGTAAAGCCATGAGTTACGCCCCTCATGAATTTTCATGCGCTGTACATGTGTCTGTTTGAATGCTATGTGGTCCGGACAGATTTTCTTCTAGTTACCTTTTCAAGTTAAAAAAAACGTGAAAACTTAATTCGGTTTAACAATTGCGGAAATCCTTACGTCGGAATTATTCATTAAGCACTATCATAAAAAAAACGCACTTTCGAATGCGCCACCACAATATACTGCTTTCAACATGAACATAAAGATGTCTACTGCTCCTTTTTGGTATAAAATACGTTGTATTGTCATAACTAACGAAGTGGGCAGTATTGTTGTTTTTTTTTCATTAAAAAGTCGAAATGAACTGAAGGTCCTATGGATGGGTGAGTCTTCCTTACCCCATCGAATGCTTCAAGTGTAAACACCTTCAAGGATAACAACCTGCACTTTCCTACCATTAAGTTCAGTTCAGTACATTCTAACGTTAAAACGATGGTATTTTTTCTTACAGGTCACTCGAGAGAGCTGGTGGACGGACATGCACAGTTCATGTCGGACGTGAAGGCGATGAACGGCTACCACGGTCCGTTCGGCTTCCGACGGAACACTCCCGAACTGCGCACACGGCCATCCCCCTTCGGTCTGGACCCGCGCTCACCCACCCAATGAACTTTTTTTTTCTGTTCCAACATTTATCACCAGACGTGGTGACCACCCAGTGAACTTTGCACACCTGTACAGTAGTCCTTTGTATATCTGTGACAGGCCTGCGATATAGGCACTCCAAACGGAGATATCTGTGACACTGGATACGTGACTGGTCAATGGGTGCAGATATGTGACAGCTCCGTACACACATATATGTCACAGGTATACAAAGGAAGCGACATACCCTACCCACCTAGAAAAAGAAGTGTTTTCCTTGACTGCAAACACAGAAGCAAACATTACCGTGACACGCAGCTAAGTTCGACAGTGAATGACCTTGATAGCCTGGTTACCAAACCTATGATAGCTCCCGAGTCCTACATCCTCTCCGCAAATAGCCTGGTTACCAAACCTATTATAGCTCCCGAGTCCTACATCCTATTTGCGGAGAGGATGTAGGACTCGGGAGCTATAATAGGTTTGGTAACCAGGCTATGACCTTGATAGCAGAAAAACATATCTAGCTTTAAGACTTAGTTTACTCACTTTCCACTTTTACGACATGTACATATTTAATGTCATGACTGTCATTCACAAATCTTCCGGCAGGGGGTGGTCACAAATATGTTCTCGCCATTTTTCCTTTATCAACGTATGAATACATCCGTAACTACCATGTCCTTTGGGTTGAAAAATATATAGACTCCCCTTCGGAGTTTTTGCTGTAACAAGCTTTAGGCAAAGAATATCATAATGTGAATAATTTCAGAAATTGCCAATGCTGCAATATTTCGCGAACAAAGCCAGAGTGTTAGGAGTTGAAAATCAAAAGTATTTATACTAGATATAAATGTATGCTTGAATAGGATATTGAATAAGTTCAATTGTTGGGAAAAGGAAAGAGTTATCTATAGTATATGTACGTATGTTGGAGAGTTAAGTCATTGTCATTAGTTATGCTGGTTTACAATGTATAACCACATAGTTTGGTCTGGTAGAGTTATTTCATTCTTGTGTATAACTGTACAGTGAGAACCTTCAGTCCAATGTATGCCACTCGTGTGTGAATATAATAATAAAATGCAGTGAAGTAGGTTATTTTTGACTTATTGTCTCCGTTATGTTTATAATTCTGGTCAAAAGAAAACCAAACGCACATGCAACGCCTGCAAAGGAGGCTAGGACCTATAAGCTTCAAGGTTGGATTTCATGCTTATCCGATCAAACCACCTTGGCCATCCCTCTATCTCTAATGTAAGATTCCTTTAAAAGGCATGCCCTGCCCAATGCAATTTCAGGGCGGCAAAGATGGAAATATTCTGAATAAGGCAATCTGTATAATATTGACGCATACTATCCCACATTATCACACTTGAACCAGTTATGTATTTCATCCTTTAGGCATTTAAAACTGCAGAAATAAGCCCCCGAATAATTTAGTCATTTATTTTTGGGGTGGTACCTCATTTGCATTTTTGGGATTGCTTCATTAGCATATTTGGGAACGCTTACAGCAGCTGGGTCATGACCTGACAAAGGATCAGCTGGGTCAAAGGAGAGCGGGATCGCTACGCCGGTTTACAACAGAAATACCTCCAGCCAGTAAGTCTTTCTCCAATTTAAAACGATTTCCTTCGTATTCGATCGACTTTGGGGCCTCCTGAAAGGGTTCTTTGCTTGCCCACATAATTTTTCGTATGTCCATGCTTGGTCTCCATGGGAGGATCTCAAATTTCGTGCTAGCATCATATGAATACGGAAGCGACCTTCGCAACGCTGAACAACACCTGGCCCAGTATTTTAATAGATTCCTCGAATAATCACACGTCGTAGGGGGATATCCTTGGTAACATAGAGGTAGAATTGCTTCGCCTAGAACCTCCTTGGTAATATCTAGCTATCGTCTCCTTACAGGTGCATGTCTGAGACACACCTTGCCCAGGTATTGTGACAGGTGTGTTAAGCGGGGAGATGATATTTTATACTGCACTGATATACCTTTAAGGTAGTATTGTAAGGGCATGTGTACGGTACTGATGATGAGAAACATTGGTGATGACACTGATCACACCTGTAATGTTATGATTCTAGTGCCAGGTGTGTTAGGTGAGAAACCAGTGGTTAACAGTACACCTGTGACCACACCTTTGCCAAGTATATACCTACAAATATATTTAAACACCTCTCACCATACATGTACCAGAGTATAGGTGTGGTCACATGTGTAACCACTGGTTCCTCCTTGGGATGATAATATCATATTAAAAATCTTTCTGTCCTGATCTTTTCGAATTGCCCAGCCCCTTATTTAATTAATACATATAATAGTTAGGAGCATGTGATCTTTTAGGCTCCTGTGTTCCTAGCTTGTTTTTATAATACTATATCTGCATTAAACAAAGGTATTACTACACTCTTGATTTATCATTATCAAACACAGCCCCAGCCTCTACAGATGGCAGTGGTTACATTTGAAGACGAGGAGTTTGAGAAGGTTTGTAAGGAGCTCCAGAGCCCTGATCTAGACGGAGGATGGGAGTTCTTCACCGAGTCACATGATGTGCAGATCCACAGGTTATACAGGGAGGTGAGTGGTCAAGGCTCAGCCTCTACCAGGCTTTGGGAAGTGGGTGGAAAGAGTAGAAATTGGCCAAATAGAGAGATAACATTCTGAGGGAGTTGGTCCAGGTGCAATTAAATGTACTCTATGGTGGACCAACTCCCTTGTCATGTTATCTCTCTATCTGGCCAATTTCTGCTCTTTCCAGCCGCCTCCTGAAGCCTGGTAGAGGCTAGTCAGGGCTTGGTGATGACATTTTCTTGATAAAACATCTTTGATACATGTATAGGCAATATTTCTTGGCTTTGCAGGTGTGGCTGTAGAAGGTACAGTACTGTGTAGACATCTTGCAAGCATGGTGTGAACTGCAGCAAGTGTAGCTGACTTCAAGCACTAGCTAACAATGCAACTATGGTATGCCTACAATGCACATGTACATGTATGATCTGGATATGGTGCCAAGGGACATACCAAGGTGAAGAAATATAAGATAAAGTTGAAGGTCAGGCTGAAGTTGAAGTCGCAAGGGTCAAGGTCAAGTCTGGTGGTGGGACGTTTCATATAAAATCCAAGTCTTGTGTCTTTTTTGAAAGAAACAGCACAAGAAAGCATACATTTTGAAGACCGGAAGAAAATCAACAACATGACATGGTATGATTTCTTAAGTCCATGAAACTGGTGGTGGTGGAGAATTGTAGCCTGGGTGCCATACTCTGTAGTTTCTGCCCGCTTCCTAAAAGTGACATTAGTGAGCAGGCGGAAACTACGGAGGCACCCAGGCTAGGAGAATTGTTCATAGTCTAGATTTTTTATACTTGGTGTAATGGTGTAGTGATATTTCTACATACAGGTGAAGATGGCTATATTTCGAACAGTTACATGATATCATGTCTTTGTCAGGCAGTTAGAACACATGTACATATACCAGTTCTTAAACTACAGTTTAGAAAAGTGTGATAGTTTACATGACATTTTAATGCAATGTATTTATGGTGGGGACACTTTGAGTGTAAAAAAATTTGTATGAAGATTGATCGGATCAATACCTTTTGAAATCCCAAAGAACAACAAAGTACATGTTTTGGTTCTGACCAACATGTGACTAACACATGTGTACACTACAGGAGTCAGGTCTGTATGAGTACAAAGTGCTGGGAACACTAAGTGACGTCACTCCATCAGTCTGTGCAGAGGTCTACATGGACCTGGAGTATAGGAAAACATGGGACAGCTATGTCAACGGTAAGTTTCAGTGTCTGTCATTTTTTGGCAATGCCTCAGGCAGAGCCTTCTTCATATTATTGGCCCCATTTTTGAAAACAATAAAATGACATATAATCGCTAGTAGGTTTTGTAACTTTTGCTCTGAACTTGCTATGGTCATTATTTTTGGATGACAAATAGCTCTTCGGAATAATATACAAATGTGCTTGAAAGTCCTAAAAGATATTCATAGTGATTCTTTTCCTAAGTTCTTATGAATTTTCTGGTGTACTTGACTACACACCAGTATGAAGAAGATAATGTCTTTTTACTGTCTCAAACACAGACTAACATTGATGCCCATATTTACTCATCCACAGAGCTGTATGAAAGAGAGGTGGAAGGCAAGAAAGTCATCTACTGGAACGTCAACTTCCCCATGTTCATGTCCAACAGAGATGTATCCTCTCAGAACTTCACTCGCTCTTAGTGTTCAACATATAACTTCTTATTTTCCATTTTGTCAACTGATGAACAACATGAAAGTCTGTGATTTATCATTTAAGAAGACTATTTAGATTTTAATTGTGATGTCTAATACAAAAGATATTGGACTTATGGAACCCGACTTTTGGACTTATTCCTTCCTTGACAGAGACTGTTGATGTAAAGTCAAACATTTGATGAAGTCCAACATTTTTTGTGTTAGAAATAGCAACTAAAATGCATCATCTATGGTCATATATTGTATGTGAGAAAGTCCTACATGTATATGGACTAGCAATGATCTTTTCCTTTGTCATCAAGTTTATTTCCTAAGAGTGCACAGTGCCCTTGACTGCACAACAGTATGTGTACATGCGTGAACTGCGAGAGTTTGACGTGGACTATGGTCATGTGTGGGCAGTGTTGGCCCAGAGTACCACGTTAGGAAACGTGCCCGAAAAAGACGGCGTCATTCGTGTGGACGACTACAAGTGTTCGCTTGTCTTTGCTTCTGATGGAAAACAAGGAACCAAAGGTATGAGGCTTGAACAGTTGCAAATGCTGTTGTGATATTTGTGATTTTTTATTTCACACTGTTACACTAGTTAAAATAAGAAAACTTTGTAGGTATGTTTATTATTTTTCATAATTCTTTATTGTTGCAGCCTTCATGTATTACTATGACAACCCAAAAGGGATGATTCCAACCTTTGTTATCAACTGGGGAGCCAAGGTGAGTTGAGGTCACTTTCAAATTATTCAGTCTGCTTGGCCTAATCTACCACATGTATTTTATAGCCATATACACTGTACAAAATCCATTCTTTACAGACACCTTAAAGCATGTGTAAATGTTCCGTTGTTCCCCCACGTGTATGTTTACATATACTTTAAGGCAGGATTCCTTGCAGTTATCTACCCATTGGAGGCTGGTAGACACTAACTGATTACCGGTATCTATGAGGGTCTGCATGGGGGGTAGTGATTACGAATTAAGCAAAATTGACAATTATGCTAAATTCTCAGAGCTGATCATGAACAATTACGTGTTACAGCTAATGTGATTACAAATTATAATGATTTTGAGCAGCTGCCTACAGATTATGAAGACTAAAAATGCCTGATTACACCTTACGAAAAAGGCCCTATATCTATATCTGACTTGGTTTCTGTATTCTAACACTATGTATTGTTTTTACAGACTGGTGTTCCTGGCTTCCTGACTTCTATGCAGAAAGCCTGCAGGAACTACCCGGAATTCTGCAGCAAAAGGAAAACTGCCACGTCATAACACAGGAACTCACAAACTACTCTCACATATAGGGAAGATTGCACGTAACAAAACTGTGGGTAGATAGAGGAAAAATTGAAGGTAGCAAAACTGTTAGATAGGGGAAAAATTGAATGACTTGTGGCTAGATTGAGGAGAAAATTGAAGGTAGCAAAATTGTATGAGAGAAAACTTGATGTTGTAAAACTATGACAATGTAGTGAAAATGTTGTGTCCACATGGAAAAAATGCTAGAAAAAATACTAGTAGCTAGAAAAAATGAATCAAAATTGTGTCTACATATCGGGATTAATCAATTTACAACAAATTTCCCTACATATTGAAAAAAATTGAATGTAGCAAAATATGCTCTACTTCCTATTGAAAAAGTAGCATAACTGTGTCTGTATATTGGAAAAATGACATGTAGCAACTTTGTGTCTGTAATGTTATAGATATAACATTGATGTGTAATTTCTTCTTTTTATAAAAGTGTGATGCCAGACTGAAATTATTATTCTTAGTGTTTCTGGCAATTTTAACATATTACAAGAGGCACCAATTTGATTTTACGAGTTTCAGAATAACAGCAACAATACACCCGTCAACTTCATCAAGCAACAAAAACAGTTGACGAATGGCCGGAAAAGTCACACCGTTACGAGCCGTTTCTGTAGATGTGTTAAGTGATATTCTTTCTATAATTAAATTCTATTTTCCGGTTATTTTTCCTTGGGTCTTGCATTGTTTTTTTTAAGGAGTGTCCAACAGGTTGGTAATGGTGACTGACAACAAAAAGCAGTGGGTGTTACGTCGCCTGCTGTCCATATACAGGTACAAAATGCACATCTATTCATTCCCTAATATAATTACCCGCGTTAAAGCATTACTATGCGATTCAGGTGGATTTTCAGTCCTTTGAATTCCAGATTTCCATGGACAATTCCGAGTAAACTAGGAGGATTTCCGTCGCGCAGCAAATTGTTGTCGCGCCTACGCACAAGGAAAGTTCAGTCACACTAACGAACCGTGAAGAGTACATTTCTGAAATTCTGACCAAAACCTGGAATGTTTACCAACAACACGCCAAAAACAGACACTGACACTCTCATAAAAAATACATACAGATAAAAAGTAAGATTAAACAGTTTTAAGTCGTTCTAAAAGGTAAACTTCGGTTCAACGCTTACGTAGTCGCGGTTTGTGTGACGAATAGCCGCCGCTCGTGTCTCATGGTAATTAGGAATGTAAAGAACGCGTTGTTGGTGGAATGACGACAGGTAAGACGACAGAAACCTGTCACGGCACACTAGGCATGGACAATGATGCGCCCAGGAAAGGAATGGAGAGGAAAGTAGGAAGTTACCGAACGAAATTCTAATACAAAATGTATCTACTGAACGCAAAAAAAAACAACTGGAAAGAATGGATTTTATTTCACGAGAAGAAAAAAATTGATACATTTGTTAAAACGTTTAAGCGAAAATTGGTAAGTAAGTTACGCCGTAGATGGGTCGTCTTTTCAACTGCTTTCTTTACTTCTCCGCCGAAAGTCAGTTTGAAGATACACCAACAGGAATCGACACCAAACAGTATCTATATCCGTCGAAAATACTCATCGTCTACTTTGGGAGCAGGTACGCATGATGACGGTGTGAATTTGATCTAGAAATAGCAACATGTTAGGTATAAAGATCACAAAAAACCTGCTCTCAGATCAATCGAGTCGACACCTGTTAACGATCATCTTCAAGCATCACCATGCAGAAAGGACAAGGTCAAGGTAAGGTTTAATATTGCCCAAGATTTTACTTCACACGCCGCGCTGTGCGAACGTCTGCACGAACGAATGTCCCACACGAATCCGTTATGTATATTAAGTACTGACTTGGTTTAAGAGATACATGCGCATTATACATTCACCAAGGGGATGCGGTCAGAATATTGAAAAGCTCAGTTTGCCTGTCGTTCTTATGACGTTTAAAAACAACTTAACGGCAGTCAAAACTGTTCATATGATGTTTCTGGTGACTTTTATATACATCGACAGCTGGCTATGGTTTTGTTGTGCATTTCCTAGACTCAACAGTCGCGTTTCTGAATAGCCTAATAGTATTGAATGACTAACTGAATCAAAGTTTATCATTGTGTCTTGCGACTACACGCCGCCCAGCCAAAATGGGTCGGGTGAATTTCATAATGTCCGTCCGGATGTACTTAACAGAAATGATACATTTCGCATGATTAGAAAACAAACAGACCTCATGACAACAATTTGGGCCGAGGATAAATCCTTGCGGAACACTTCCCTAGTGGTGCAATCGCGTGATTATGAAGTGTAATATGTCATTGAGATAGGAATGTGTGACGCATATTGTCACTGACCCGCATCACCTCTGCATAATCTTTTACTTTAGCTACAGCTCATTTATTTTGCTGCCTGCTCTTTTCCCTGCCATTTGTATCCACACGTAGACCTATTTGTATTGGCCGCTACAAAGGATTTATTCCCTTGCGGGAATAATCTCCAAGATCTTTCGGTGGCTGCAAAGACAGTATCTAATTGGCCAGGCAGTATATACGTATCCAATCAAATCTCAATCATGTTGACAAAAATCGTAAATCCGATGAGTTCACAGTTTGACCACATTTTTCTTTAAATTTCTAAAAAAAAAAAAGGAGTTTACACCAAGGCGCTCTGTGCGGTGTTGTGCTTGCTGGTAGCGGTTCAGACTGCAGGCGCCGTGCCGGTCAGGCACAAACGGGACAGAACACCCTGTAAGCAGATGGAGGTCAACAGCAGGCTGGCCATCAGACTCCGGCTACATGTCACTGATCTACGTGACTCCATCCCGGTAGGTCTCTACAAGGATGTATAGGCGGGTGCGTTTGATGAAACGTAAGGTGCGTGCGTGTGTAAAGTGTGTTTTACGTGTGTTTGTTTGTGTGTGTGTGTGTGTGTGTGTGTGTGTGTGTGTGTGTGTGTGTGTGTGTGTGTGTGTATGTACATGTATGTGCGCGTGTGTGTATCATTTAAGGGGCCTGAATCTATCAGTAGTATTTTATTTGAATTTATTTCTCCACCAGACTCCTTTGCAGGCTGAATAAATTAAATCTGCCTATAAACAAAGGGATGTAACTGACCAGAGGAGTTAGCCCGCCATAGAAGGTCCAATTTGCCTGTACGGTATACCGTAGTTCGTAAAAGCTATGTAGAAGCCTTGTGTATTATCTAAAGACATCTGACTTCCCTCTGACAACAGGTGGACCCAGAGGAGCAGGACCTCCCCACGCTGTTCCCCAGCCTCTCCCAGTCATTCAGCAACCGGAACAATCTCACGGTCAGTCAATAAACCTTCAATAACCATTCGCTCATTTTCCTATGATAAATCACATGACGCCAGGCAATATGACCCTGTGAATGTAAAGAGGCTAGAAAGCATAGAAGTGGTATAATTTTAATCAGTTACTCTATTGGGTATTTCCCCTACTTGTTTACCAGATATAGACCTCGTTGGTCACGATTGTGACAGACATCAGCATCACTGATTTTCTCTGCATGCCAATACAACGATATAGATACTTGAAGATGACAAAATGAGATTGAATGGATCTGGATCCAAATGTCCACGGGCAACCAAGCTTTTCTGCCTGTGAACAATCTGGTTTTAGAACGATATTTCGAACCGGTTAACCCTAAATATGAATTGTGACTCGCATTGGACTGGGACAAGCTATAGCTTGACTAAGGTTACCCTGAGAACAACTAAAAAAAATGAAAACGAACCGTGTGTGTTGTGTTCAGCACCAGGGCAGGTTGCAGTGGATCGAGGACCGCCTCTTGATGTTCCGTGAGATGATGATGGCGTCACGCGCGGAGGGCGACTGGACCCCCGAGCTGAGGAGGAAGCTGCAGAGGGTGATAGACGACACCCGAGGGCTGGTCCGGGCTGTGAGAGTGGCGGTAAGTGACGTCAAGACAGTTTCATTGTTAGCCTCTGCCAGGCTTCGGGAAGTGGCTGGAAAGAGTAGGAAAAAAATACCAGGCTTCAGGAAGCGGCTAGAAAGAGTAGAAATTGGCCCGAAGAGCAGTTTGCCAACTCCCCTGGCTTTTTGGCCAATTTCTATAACCACAGTTTCATTGTCACTTCTACGACCGGATCTAAGTGTAGACCGTTAATATGACGTAAAATTGACGAAACTTTTAATACACACAGTATCATGTGAGGAACTAGTAGTTGGTGACTTGAAGACCGTCCTGTCAGCGTTGTCAATTACAGCGTTGTTATTGTCAATGTTGAATTTCATCACTTACGAACTGTTCCTCCCACCAGGCCACCCTCCTGGGCATCAGCCTGGAGCACAGTAACAGCACCCCGCCCAGCCCCGTCCCCTCATCCGACCCCAGCATGGACGCAGACGTCACGCACTACCTTCTCATCCGGGACTTCGGACGTGTGGTGATGGACGTCCATCATCAGTTTAACAGGCTGGCCCGAGCTACATGTGACATCTCGTAATGTACATGTATGTACCGGACCATATGGGCACGAGATTTCAAGATACAAGTATAGTGACCTTGTTTTGTCTCCAACCATTGCCAACTGGTCTATGAAGACCATTTGCTTCTATTATAAACTCAGTCAGTCAGTACTATGCTATTCCTGAACGTTGCCAACAAAAACGTTCACTGGCTCCCTATGGCCTTCTTCAGGAGTGAATGACCCACTACTTTTGACACGTGACCTAACAGACACGTGGCTGGTTCTGTCATGTTTGCAAGGAGTGGCACAATGCAAAACACTGCCAGAATCAAGTCAGTATTGACAGTGACCATACCCTTTCAAAATGACAGCTAGTTCATGACATGGTTTTGGGGACATCTAAAACGTTTAGAGTGACAGTCTACTCAGGCATTGTATCATACTTAAGTCATATCTTGAACGAATCGGGGACAGTGAATGGAACGCAAGGGACAAAATAAGTTCAATATTGTATCTAAAAACTCGTGCGTCTATTTTTACCTGTAGTACATACAGTTTCTGACCATGTTGCAATGCAACATTTGAGTGATGGTGTTTTGACCATAGTTAGAATAGCTATGTAGCAGAACGTGCGTAGTTCTAGAAATGAATAGGAGTAGTTGTGGTTTACCACAGAGTGTGTTGAACTGTGATACAGGTAGCTTAGATGTTCTATCAGTTCTGGATTCATTGTATAGAGACTATTTTAAGAGCTATCTTTAGATGGTGTTTAACATGATTATTATATAATCTATACATGTACTAAGATATATGTAGTGCAAATATCAAACATTTTGGGAATGTTATTAAGAAGGATGGTTAAGCATAATAACCAATTTTTGAAATTTATGTAACTGCTTAGACAATATGTCTGCAAGGAAAAGGAGCATATCTTAATGTAGTACAGCTTACATGTTTATAAGATAGTACGCAACATGCTTGTCATCAGATATATTATCATCACATGACAAGGCAGATCACTGGGGGAAGGACTGAATCTACCTAGAACATGTACATGTAGGTTCAATTCTGATGCTATTTCCAAAGATTAAATCAAGAATAGTAATTGTCATTCCAACCTGTCCTTGTATACTATTATTAATGGGATGTATCTGTTTTATGCACCTGTTTCTTCAATTATTGACTAATCTAGATATGAATATTATACTGAGTCCTAGAGAGTAAAAGAAGTAACAAGCGTACATAAAATGAAAGTACAACAAACTTTATTGAAACACTAAAGCAGATGCTTTCTCTGTTTAGTGAGCAGCAATATATACATACAATGTCTATACATTTTAAGTCATCTGTCCCTAGCCTTTTTATCAATTCTAGTCTGGTTTCCATCTTCATAGTTTTGCCATCTCCCGGACTCAGTCATATACCACTGCGTGAGTCAGAGAGAATGAACTAAGAGGATGGTGCCCAATCTATAGCAATTCTACTCTTGATATAAATAATTTTTCCTAATATTAAAACAAACAGTCACTGCTGACGAAGAATACTGTCTCTCCACCCTCCCAAATCACAGAGTTGCTGGAACATTTATCTATCTACACATTTGCAGCTATTTTGAGTTAATGAACTTCAGAACTCTACTGTGTCCTCTCACAGATCACGAAAGTGTGGCCCAAATTCTTCATAGTCTTGACGGAAACACTCTCTAAAAGGATCTCAACTAGAGGTTGCCCTTTCTTTGGACAGAACTGCGCCACCTTCTTCTAGTGATTGTTAGTGTGTTAGTCCATTACGGAGGATACCGGACCATTTTCTGTGAATTGACAGAAGTACTGTGAATTGGAGGTTTTGTAACATACCGGTAATTGTACATCCTGCAATTTGTTATGGGTTGGTGATATTTCATTGACAAAAAAACTGTGATTCAAAGGACAAAATTTGTCAGAGACTTCACATCCTGCAGCATCTATCCCAGCACATTCTGTGGTAAGGGAGGGTAGAAACTGAAGTATAAGCAATAATAATATACATTTCTCTTTCTATCACTCTCATACTAATATCATGCAATACCAGTAATGCGGCTGTTACATACATACATGCAATGGCTTGGTAACATCGGGGCCACACCTATCTAATTTCTTAGGCTTCCGATTTTGTCAGAAAAAAAAAATCACATGGACAGAGAAATACTGATGTCATGAAAGCGATGTTATGTCCATTAAATGCACCAAAACAAATGTATAGCTTCTATGGGTAAATTACAACTAGGCTAATCAGAAACAAAGAAATCAAACCAGCGTGGCCCAAGTGAACAAAACTTGCATATGACCATACCTTCAAGGCTGCACTCTTTTCAAGAGATGCCCCTTTGTATCACTATTGCTTAGGTTTAGACTTCTTAAAACACATTTGGCAGACACTGGGTCCGTTTTACACTAGAGGCAAATTCCAAGTTCATTCATACCCAAACTTATCATTTACCACTTGACTGTTTGCAATCTCCGACCTGAGATATTGGGAGGAAAGATCCCTCACAATTTTTTTGGACTGCTCCATTTTGTTCACCAGCATTGCTTAGACCATCAACAAACACCTATCATCTTTCCTCCCAGCATCTGTATGGCAACTATCAGCAGACCAATGTCATCATCATTGTTTATAAACAGTAGGTACTTGAAAAGCAGCATTGTTATAGCTGACATTTGCCACAAAGCTATCACATGGACAGGGTCATACAGGCATAAATATATGACGACTATCTTATTCTTAATATGGTTTGTCATTTCAATAAATCTACACTTTTTGCTGTACAGGTTTGTTGCCATGCAAGTCAAGATGTACTGAAATTGCTGCTGAAAAGTAAATTGAGTGGCAGGGCAAAAATAGTATGATCTAGGTTTCTGGTTTGAACAATTCATAGACACATGGCACTGCAAATAAGCTGCATGAATATACAACTGTGGCTATTTCCTTGCTATTGACAATTTGCCCTAGTGTAACATTTTACAATATACTTCTGTCATGATAATCCTGTGTTTATATCATAACATTCAACCAACTATAATGTAACCGCATTCTAAGGACTATTCCATCAAAAAGGATGGGAGGTAAAGACATTGGACCACCATTTACCTAAGTATTATACTAGTATATTATAAACCATTTCCTTTTTATCCTCCCTCCACATACTTTCAGTGGAATAGCCCTGTCAAAATCCACACTTTTCCTTCTTTAAGTTCTGAAACAACAAAAACTCTGCAACAGTGACAATAATCAAATGTATCAAAGATATCAGCAAATGCTACTTGATATAATTTCTAGTCATATCTAGCTCACTGGAGACATTTCAAGAAACTCATTTACACATTACTATACATTATGATAATGTTTGCCACATTTTCATGTAACCTTCCAGACGGTAACTGAACATGGTGGGATCATGTAATACTGGCCAAAATAAGCGGCAATCTTCTACTAAAGATGGTCTACTGGTTCTACTTGGATGGATGTAGATTTCCTTTCAAATGGGTGCGTGATATGTAAATTTGTTGGCAACATCTTCTCTTGTAAAGGAGAAAACAAAAGCATTCTTCTGTGTTATAGGTAATGTACTGACTTTGAGTAACACCCATCTTTCAAACCAGACTTCACCAAAATCTTTTATTTGCGGTATGATTTGGAAGACCAATCAGTCTTGTACAAAATGACACCTGCACACAAATTTGTCAAATTTCTGTACTCTTTCATAGTTTATATAAGTTCTGTTTGCATCATTTATAACATATAAGCATTACTTTAGCTTGAAAAGCATTTCTGGTCAGATACATTAGGAGAAGTTTAGGCACATAAACAGTTATTTGGATGGCATTCACATAGTACACAATAATCATCCTCAATATAGTAGTCCCTTACCCTTCAGTGATCGGACCACGAAAGAAATAAACAAAAACAAACAAGGCCGTGCCAACTCCTTGGTTCTTGGATGTCTTTCTGTACATAACTAGACTGACAAGATGCAAAATTAGCTTTGTGCTTGACAAGAAGTCAGCTGTCTTTCTCTTCTTTTTCCTAATTGCACGTTTTAGACTTGGCAGACTCCAAGAACCAACTACAGAACTGGGTAAGGCCTGGTTAAACAGCCTCCAGTTTAATTCTGGACTTTCAGTTTAATTCCTGACTAATTCTCATATCTCAGCAACCTTACATCTTGATATATTTCTTGCATCATTTTTACCAACAGTTCACAATATTAGCCCATCTAGATGTACGGTTGCTGAGATATGGGAATTATTCCAGAATTCCACTGGAGGCTGTTGTTACTGATGCCCTGCACCTCAGCAGGTGGAGATGGTGACGTTGATTCCTAGGTTGCCGTTGTCGGCGAAGAGTCTGGCGATGTTGGTGTCGAACACCAGGCAGTCGCTGCTGCTGATGGCGGAGGCCACGCCCTCGTGGATCGACCTGGGCGTGGCTTCCCACGTCAGTCTTCGCCGGTGGCCGTTCAATTCCAGTCTGGAAAGGCGATAAGGATCACGGTTAGAATGGTGACTTGGTGTCACCTCTATCAAAGCTGATGAGTACTGTTAATCTTTAAATACAGTGGGTTTATATTAGCTGTCACTGCTAACTCATCGCAACATGCACGCTGTTTTCATACTGTACTGTTTCAACTGCAAACTTAAAACATCACAAATGGCTCCTTTCCCTCTTACCATGAAATCAAAATGATTTACAGTATATAAATACTAATGGTTGTTTTATCATTGCTGTCACTGCTAACATATCACACAAACATCCACTCTTACTAGTGTACTGTTTTAACTGCAAACTTAAAACACCACAAATGGCTCCTTTCCCTCGAACCATGAACGTGATTTTCAGTATGTGAAAATAAAAATGAACATTCTTTACTCTCATATCTGCGCTACTGCTATTGCTGCTGCCATGCTAGATAGTGTTGCAATGTCATTTTGAACTATCAGCCCAAAAGCACCAGTTACCTGTAGGCGAAGTTCTCAGCCTGTTTTCTGGTCCCTATTAGCTGTACAATTGCAAAGAACTGCTGGTGGCCGTCGTACTTCTCCTGTTTCTCCAGGACCAACATGAAGTTATGTCCAAAGCAGGACTGCATCATGACCCAGTCTACCGCCCCGGGCAGGTTGATATCCGTGGCCAGGAACACTATGTCTTCTCCTGTTGTGGACACAGGCGTGGGAATGTTAGATACAAAGAGAACATGTGTACAGAATGCAAAAAATAACACTCGAAAGGTAACATCTGCAAAGCGAATACATAATGGTTACCTTCACGTGTCAATCTCGTCTAACTACTGCTCTCTTTGTACTTACTCAAGCACTTTTATATACCAGTATATACTTTTACATACTACTGGTGACCAGCCCCTCCAACTCTGTCCTGCTACATGATGTAACCTAACACCTACAGGAATTGTAGAAACACACACAGACTAGACAGACAGCCCAAAAAGAATACTTCAAGTAAAAAAAACATAATGCCCCACCTTGTAGTGTTGTTATTGACTTGTGTGCGTGTGTCAGGTGTGGCATGACGGCGTCCAGTGAACCCTGCCACTTACAGGACGACCCCGGACATGGGCAGGAGTACGGTCTGAAGTCACAGATCTCCTCGTGGTCCGGTTTTTCTGTTAGGTGACAAAAACAGGGATTGGTCCACTCTTCCGTTTCTGAATCAACCTGCCTAAGTCATGTCAAACCATCATGAAAAGTTCATGATTGTTTCACTGGACACTGTAAAATATTAAATATACAGAACAAGACAATTTTCTGAGTGGGGTGAAAGAGGCTATATACATCAGGGCCCACCCTTCATTCAACTGCAACTGATAAGTACATATTTCATACTACTGCCTTTTACTGTGGCCAGACCATGTCTCATCTTTTAAAGTATTGATGATATATATTTCGTAGACTTAGACCATTCAACATTCAAAATGAGTTAATGTGTTGGATACATGTTAGTAAGTATGTCACATAAGTTTCAGTCATTTCTTTCATAAATCCACTGCCTATACAATGGGATGAGAAAATGTCAGCCCCCACAGTGTTGCCAAAAATGCATCCTTCTGCTCCTAACCTCTGACCTTACCTGTGTGTAACAATGTTACAGGACAGCCTGCTGACGCATACTTGCAGGGAAACATGACTGTGCTGGCTACTTTCTCCATCGCCAAGTTTCTGATGTTGCCTAAACAGACAATAAGAAGAACAATCAAAACACAAGCAACAATAGAGTGGAGAAACAACTATAAATTAACAAGTCCAGCAGAACATTTCACAGACACAGGATAGCAATGGTGGCCACAACTTTCATCGAGAATTAAGATAATGTTGATGATGATGCAGATTAAGAATGTACACAGAAGGTATACTAGTAGCTAATGCAAGAGCTACTATGCATGTGTAGAGGGCAATACAATGAATTTTAAATTAGTGTGTTAAAAAAAGGCAGATTTCTTCACTCCTCGGCTCTTATTTCAAATTGTTCATAAGACATTAAGAGTTGATGCAAGTATATATGACAATAGACAGTATATGAAGCTCGAGCCCCCCTGCCCAGCAGTCAGTTGCATGTTAAAACACCACAATAAACAGAGCACGTTGGCAGAACATACTGCGCCTACGCAGAATCACGATTTTTCACGGTTTTCGTTGGATTTTTGGTCAACGTTGCATTAGAATTTTGCCTGTTGCAGAAGATATCTTTTCCGACATAACATTTGGAAACTACAGACGGAGTGTTAACCTTATATGCTCGAATACAACCTTATATGGGACATTCTGCGGAAGTGCTATGCACAATATATTACGGATTTCGCGCAGGTGCAGTACGTTCTGCCGACGTGCTAATAAACAGTATACAAAAATGTAGGCAGGAAATCCAAGGCCCCCTACCCAGTGGTCCTCTGCATGTTGGACAGCATGATAGTTTAGGTCTGCAGCTAGAGCACACTAGGTGCCCACTCTGGCACTGTAGTATGGGTGGGAGGACATAATCAAAGCACACCGGGCACTCAAACAGCCCCGCTAGGTCCTGTGTCGACGTGGCACTGCTGGTCGGAGTGTGCCGGTTTGGCTTCCCGCTTATTGTCTGTCGGCTCATCTTCCTACACCTGAAAAATAAATTAATAAACAAACAACTATGAATTAGTAACTAAATAATGGTTTTCTGGAATCATACTGCCAAAAAAATTCACAAGACAACATTTTTTGGATCTGCAACACCTACACATACATGTACATGAGTAGCTGTTATTATTACTACTATACTTACTTGAAAATTGCAATGCAAAAGGCTTTTGTATAGAAATATGTGCATACATGGAACTGGGGCAACCTAAAATGGTATTGGGTATCCTAGTTTGGGGCAAATGCTTTAAATCGTATTTCCAACCCTGGTGCCTCACATGTAATAATACTAGGCTAAAGGCCATCCTGTTTTCATTTAAATGATTATAATAGAGCCTGGTACTTATAAGTACAGCTGGTAGCTACTTCTTTAGACCAGCTGCAGATTCAAAACAACTGTTGCCACCCTGGAGTGCTGGTGGATTTGACCTTGACATCAGTGTGTTATGCAAGACTGAGTTTGGTGATGGCTCTTACACAAAGGCAGCAGGAGTAAACCACACCAATGACTCTTCTGACCCAAATTTTGAGTGTCTAAAGCACCCACTACAAACATGACATGAATCCACTATTGTATTGACTTCATCAGGGCCAAACGTTAGGACAGGGAAAAGCATAATATGCACTTTTTAGGTGTCTGAAAACCTGTTGTTGATATGGTTCAAGGTCATGCAAGCTGGGGTGGCCTTGTTGCCATGACACTTCTAGAACTGAGGGTCAAGGTTATAATTTCACAGGCAAAGGTTAAAGTTTCTCAAATGGAATGTTACAAGTGTACAGTCCTGTGTTGCCTGTTGACAAGTTATCATGAGTTTTGTCTGACATGTTGAGTTCCAAAGAAATCTCTGCCAATTGTCATTAAGTTTTGCTTTCTGTCTGTCACCTGGGACAGAATGGCTGGGATTTTTGTTTGCCCCAAGATGCAAAATTCTAAACAGGGACACAACAAAACAGAAGGATAGCTAGTAGACTTACATATTACACGTAACAATATTACACAAAGCATGACAAACTAGACTAGCCCATCGCGACACTCCAACCCAAATTCATAAAGGCTCTACCATTCCACAAAGACTGCTACTACATATTCGTATTCCTATTTCTCTCAGAGTCTGACCATCGGGGATTGGAACGCGCTTCCTCAGGTCATAACAGAAATCACAGAGCCCGACAACTTCAAGGAAGCTGTACTCTACTCTTGCACCTGAGGAAACAATAACTTAGGGTGCAGTGCACTTCCCCTGTGCGTCTTACCCCAACAGAGGGGTGTTGCACAGTATATCTCAAGAAGAAGGAGGATGGATGGCAAGGCTGCCGCCTGGAAGGAGGCTAGCCTTCTATGAATCATGTGAGATAATTCCAGAAAAATTATGCTGCCCCCTGGCAAGTGTGATGTGTGTAACAGCCTCCCCAAGAGGCCCAGGTAACAGGTGACCTGCACAACTCTCTAAATATTCATTTTCAAGTCGGGACGACAAGTATGTAGTGAGTCATACACAAAGCACCCCCCCCCCCCCATCAGAAATGTCTGTCCTGTGGTTTCGATGTTGTTCTAAACATACACTTTGACACTCAAAAAACATTCTCATAATTCAAATCAAACTGTTACCAGACATCAAAAATTCATATAGCAGCAACCCACACTATATTTAACCCAACGCCGTCCGTACAAACATTAAAACCGACTGTAAAGTAACAGGCAGTGAACTCCGAGCCACAAAAATTCGCCCCCACTGAGAAAGAGCGGCCATGTCTGTTTTTCAAGCGAGGTCTTCCTGACAGCTACTGTAGTTCGGAGGCGATCCCGTGTAATTGGCGGTGCCTGACGCCCAATTCTGTACGTAAATCACATCTATAAACCATCATGAACATGCTACAAGTTTATACGTACCCACTGGGGTCTAAATTTGCTTGAAAAACTCACGTTTTCACAGCTCCCAAGCCGCAACAATCTTCGGGGTTGTCACTATGTCTCGTCACAGCTCAGACTGCTATCCCATGAGTCATCGCGCAGGTTCGAAAGCCTGAGCAAGAGCGACGTCTACTGGGAACTTGCGGTACGACAAGCACGACAGAGGGACAATTTTTCCGACAATGGCAGAAGTGACTGAGATTCATAACATTTTAACCAAGGATTAAAATCTAGATTTAAGCTCCCTGTTTCAACGGAGGCATTCGTGTTTTTTTTACGTAGAGCGTAATTCCGCATCTATACATTACGATTTCAGGTATCTTCAGGCTGAGTTGTTTCTCACAGTTGGCAAGTGGCCGGAGTTTTAACTCCCCTGGCCAGTTACATTCCTGTTTAGGCTGATTTCTACTATCTATTTAGCCTGCAACTCCAAGAAGTCCAGTGGAGACTAGCCTTTTATATTAATTACCTCACCAGCCAGGCTAGCCTTTTGCATGGAGTGAGTAAAGTTGTTTCCCAAAGACACAACGGTTTTGTCCTTGACGTGAATGCAAGGAATCGAACCTGTCAGCTCTTGATCTCGTGTCCTATATGGCCTAGCAAGTCGACCCCACGCCTAGTATTTATCTCCTATCTATCTATATAACCATTATACTCACACAAACATGAAAAATAATCACAAGATCAAACTGTCTCCATTTTATTGCACCCCATCCTTACATCAAGTGAATAACCAAAATACTTATAAGTACAGAAATTAACCATATTTCTTTGTTGGAAATAACGTTAACATACAAAAACTGAATGCTGATTACTAGTATATTCCTCGAACATTTTATGCTTCTTATGCTACCGGTATAATTCTACATCATGCTTAAGAGTTATCAAACGGATGTGGAATGATTACAGGTCTAATTTCATCATCATCATTGCTAATGGCGTAACTGTTAGAGCAATAAGCTGCGAAACACTTGTTGAAGTTCAATGCGATGGCAAAAATTCGGGACTTGTGAAGCAACAAGTCACTATTCCGTGTCAGTCATCCTTTCTAGTAGCCTTCCCAGTGACTTTTCTGCAAGGTCTAGAGGGGTCAGTTCCTCTTTGTTTTTGACGTGTAGACTAGCGTGGTTCTCTACCAGTAACTTGGCCACCTCGGTCAAGTTCTCTTCACAGGCCAGGTGTAAGGGGGTGTTCCCCTGCCCGTCCTGGGCGTTGATCTGCCCCTGTTGGTCCAGCAGCATGGCCAGGACCCTGACGTTACCCCTGGACGCTGCCCGGTGAAGCGGTGTGGCCCCGTACTGGTCAGCAGCGTTGGGGTCGGCGCCGTGAGTCAGCAGACTGTCGGCGATCTCGATTCTGTTGCGCGACGCCGCGTAGTGGAGGGGGGTTTGCCCGTTGTTGTTGACGGCGTTGACTTGAGCCCCGTGTGCGATGAAAGCCGTGCAGATGTCCTGGTGTCCCGCAGACGCCGCGATGTGCAGCGGCGTCCAGTTGACGTCGTCTCGTGCTTGGACGTCGGCCTGGTATTCCAACAGGAGGTCGACCACCTCTTTCTGGCCCGCGGACGCCGCCCAGTGAAGGGGGATGCGCCGGTCTTGGTCTGTCACGTTGACCAGACCTCTGTTTTCTGTGATTTTCTCCTTCAGACGACCGACGTCGCCCTTGAACGCCAGATCACACACTTCGACATCAGACACGGACTGAGAACCGTTCACGGCGGCCATGTTGGAGTTGTGAGTCAGCAGCTCTGTGCCATGTGAGAGATCACTTCCGGTATGGGGCGTGAAAAGGGTTTTCAGCGCTACGTATTTCAATAGCGAAATAAAGCAAAGGAAACAAATAATGATATTCATCCACTTCTAATAATGTCATTGAAATAAGAAATGAATCTTAGGAATTCCATATCCGGTGATATGTGTTCCTCTTCCGCATTATATGACTATGCCAGATACACGAATTCTCTATCAGAGTCTCTCCTTGCGGCGCAAAGCATCATTTCAGTGCCGCCAAGTTCAAAGCACTTCTGACCTGATCTTTGACCCACAGGTCATTGCCCTTTGTTAATTTGTATTAATATAAACGCAAAACTTAGCAATGTGCCTGGTTATAGCATTTTTGGTCCTGTTGAACCAAATGTTCTAACCAATTTACTTTCCTATTCCGGTTTGGTTTGTTCAAGGACATTATACTTTGTTCATCTATTACTACTAGTAGTATACCTTAATGGTTTGCTTTTGCAAGGTGGTCCCTATATCCAACTTTTAACAGAAATATATTGTTCGCAGAAAATTAAAAAAAAAAACAACATTTTTTACCATTTTATTGTAAACTCTCACACTTAAATGTATTCATGAAAAATGATGTAATATGCATGAGGACAATCAACAGTTATAATGGAGACAACAATGCTGAACTGCCAACATAACATTCCAAAAGAGCACTGGTAGTTTCTAAGACTATTATGAATGTAGTAAGCAGAACCAAGCAAGTCAATGGATGGCTTTTGAAAGTGTTAATATGAATATAACTTAACTTGTATTTTTGGAGAGTTACCCCTAAACCTTTCCTGTGACAAAACTGTTAAGTACCATTCAACACAATACACATGATTATTCAAAAAGCTCCCAAAACTCACATCCACTATCTTAAATCCAGTACTACCATGCTTAACATTACCAATTCACATTCTTTTTTTGAGCTTTGCTTTAATAGCTTAGCTTACTTCTAATATCATCTCATTTTCATTTTATCTCACATAGCTAGCATGTACTTTTGCTGATTTTTACACAGTAACTTGGGTAAGTCACTACTGTAGTACCATAACACTTTTACAAGCTAAAGGCTAGAGAGGCACAAGGATTGTACTGTGAACATTAAACATTTGCATGTGAGGTATGGATGGTAATGTACATCCATATAAAAGTAGGTATGGTTGTTCCCAGCACTTCAATATTAGGAGTGAATGTTTGCATGTATCTGTAATAAAAAATGGAGGTTCAGCCTTTCCATATAAGGTGTGGATGGTAATGAAGCTGGTGTGTTACGCCGAAAGGCGGTTGTACCGGCTATACAGATACAGATGTACAACCATATCAGGTGTAAATGTTTGTATACTGTACATCTGTAATGGGGAATTCTATACTAGGTATGGTTTACTAGCCTGGTTGTGTTTAAAAAATCAAGTTTACCTTCCCTTCAAGTGTTTGGATAAGATTTAATATTTCAGCAAGTTGCATATATTTAGGAAAATTGGGAAGTAATTTGAAAACATGATTAGAGAGCTAAAAGCAATATTTCTGTGATAAACCTGTACTTTTTCTTTTTTTTTAAGATAATAGCTATTGAGCATTTCATGGAAAATAGCCCCTCCCATACAGAGTAACTTTGATGAACGCTACAGTTCCAATTCTAGTTCAATAACTATTTTTTGTCTTCTTCACTGAGATAGTGAAAGACAGACGAGAAATCCTTAAGTGGATACCCCTTATTACATAGAATTCTGTAGATCTGGTGGGCAAGGGAACCAAGGGGCGTCGGCGATTTGGTAGCTGTGGCAGCATTCTGGGCAAGACCAAGATCCTGGAAAGGGGGTATCAAATGAGAAAAAAAATTAGCCTCATTGGTACCCGTGTTACCATTTGCAAATGTTTTGCTATCACACCTTCATGTCAATATAACGTATTGTATATAAAGTATTAAAAAGAACATATTTTCTCAAGAGCTCAAATGGGATGGATGAAGTACTACTGTAAATCACTTTATACTCATGGCAGGAAACATTTCGTGGTCTGAGAAAAATGGACATGTTCACGGAACTATATGTTTGCAGTGGTGGTGGGCGCAGAAGAAAGAAAGTCAGCGAATATAAAAGTACCACAGATATAAAATAATTTCCATTATTTGACAGACAAGCAATAAGAGGCAAACTGGACCTGGAATAGGGGGATGGATAGCATGCTACAATTATCAATCTTACTAGAAGTGATGCTGGTGCAGGTATTGTCTTTTACCTTTGTCATGAGAGCAGTTCCAAACCCTCCCTTGTAGTTGTTGGAGGAGGGCACACCCTCTATGACCCCTGGGACAGGGTTATAGGTGTCACTGGCCCAACACCTACCAGTACTCATGTTTATCACACTGGCTAACAACTTTGCATCCAAACCCAGCCTGGAAAGAAAAACAAACAATCAAATAAGGATAAGATGAAAAAATCAACCTTGCTATTATTTTAAGATACAAACATCTAAGTAGAAAACAAGTGAAATTACGCAGTACCTGATGACAAATTTGTCAATGGTGGAACCAAATGTCAGCACATTGATATAGAAATAATTCTTAAAAACAGTTGAATTTCAATGATTTCTATTCAGAGAGAATAAGACTTCATAAAAAATAAGGTGACCTGACATTGGAAACAAACTCTAGCTGACCTCATGCCCAGGTTCATAGTTTCTGATACGCCGATCATCTCAATGGCCAGCAGCATGTTGTTACAGATCTTCACTGCCTAGAGAAAAAAAAAAGATACAGCATTTAAATCTGGGTAGAAATTCTTGGGACAAATACAATAAATTGTGTTAAGTTTGCGAGGACTCAATTTTGTGGTTGGATGCACTTGCTGTGTTTTAAGTTGAAACAGTACTGTAGTGAGACAGAGCTGTTCTTGGTGTGATGAGTTTTGGTTATCCAAGAATTCCAAAACCATGATCCAGTTTGCAGTACAGATAAGTGACTCACTGTAACTTGTGTAAGCGAACATAAAAGTACTGTGAAAAAATCAGGAATTACACTACCTGTCCTGAGCCGACATCCCCACAGTATACCACATTCTTCCCCATGAACTGTAGGAGCTCCTTCGCTGCCTCAAACTCTTCCTTCCTGCCTCCCACCATGAAGGTTAGAGTAGCTGCTGCCGCTGCCGTGATGCCTGTACCATCGGGAGGGGGGGAGAGTGGAAACACATTACTGTGTAAGCTAAGGTTGTACCTTGTACCTTCCGTATATGTCTGATTCTGAATGTTTTTGTACTTGTACCCAAACTAAAACATTAGTACACAAGAAGACAGATTTTGAAAACTGTCAGACATTTCAACTAGCATCCACTAATTTTTGTCGGTGATTGAAGAGTGTATTGTAGTGGATGCTACTTGAAAATCTAACATTTTTTTACATGCTTGACAAGTGATAAACACCACACCTCCAGACACAGGAGCATCCATGTAGACTCCGCCCTTCTTGGCGGCGACCTCGGCGATCTCCTTGGAGACAGCGGGGTCGATGGTGCTGCTGTCAATCAGGAGACTGCCAGCTTTCACGTTGCTGCAGGAAATGTGACATTTTGTGAGACTTTATTAGTACATTGTATATCCAAATTAGTGGTGTGCCTGAGGGCATACAATTACTCTTTCTTGACAATAATAATAACATAACATACAATGGCCATAAACTGGCTTTATCAAAGTCTTCAATTAAAGACAAGGCTGACAAGCACACTGAAGAAGCCATTTGGTTACCAAGTACCAACTCTGGTTATGGCAGGCAGCGAACTGAAATCAACCAAGCCTGGCCCATCTCATGGGTATTCCACAAAATCCCTACACCAAAAAAAAAAAAAACAGCTTGTAAACTACCCAGTGGAGCATCGGTTTAGAAATGTAGCATAAAACCAGTGGAGTGTGCCTACCTGAGGATGCCGTGTTCTCCACAGTACACCTCCTGTACATTAGGACTGGAGGGCAGCATGGTGATGATTCTGTCAGCCTTACCGGCAACCTCAGCCGGCGTACTGGCCTTGATCGCTCCTGCATCCTAACATTGTGGTTTCAAAACAACAGTTACTTACTCATAATAATACTTACTGTAAATTTACTCAGGCTTGCGTAGACTTAATTCTGCAGCAGTATACAATAGGAGGCAGTCATGGTTCAGGTTTGTAGCTGAGATGGCCACAGTAATGGAATGTATTTACCATTGTGATTGTGAAGTTGTGAACTGCATCAGAAATCTGAAACTACTACATCGAATGATTGTAGTGTCCACACCTGGGCTGTTTTACATATTCTATGTCCTACATTTTCGATATTGTAACAGGGTTCTGTACCAGACCCCTACACTGTGAAAAAATTCCAGTGAGAACCCTGCTGTGCTACAAAAATGAAGCCGGGAGCACAGTGAAGCCAGGACTAAAACACAAACCTCCAATGATGCCATCGCCTCTGGATACACATCATTCACAATGACTGGGTGTCCGTTATCAAGGAGGTGCTTTGCCATTGGTCCTCCCATGTTCCCTAAGCCAATAAACCCCACAGGTGTTCTCGAGGCCTAAAAAGGAAAGAGAGAAATATTAAGGTTATCAGGTTATATTAAGATACCTGAAAAAAAAATACACTGTACTTGTTTTATCTTTGAGATTAAAACAAAGTGAATCCTTCTACAAAGATCACAACCTACCACAGAAGAGACAGTTATCTTATTGTAATGTTACATGATATGTCCATTGACCAAGCAGTCCAGATCTGATTATCAAGCTCATTGTTTTAGGTAATAGTACAGGTCCCGAACTATTTCCTGATACCTAAACATGCATTTAGGTATATACATGTACACTGTACCAGTACCCCTATTCCCTGGCATAATATATGGTAAAATATTGAAAGGCTCTAATCAAACTTTAATCAAGGCAAAATATACATACCTGGTGTGCTGCTGATGCTGTAAAATAACAGAGAAATGTGCAGCATTAAAACATTATACAGTAAGTAATAGATTCATGTTCATACTCATAGTGTACCCAGGTATACCCAGAGACCACAATGCAAGATCACAATTCATGTGAGAGTGAAGGGACATCATGAGCTCATCACTTTTTTACTAGTAGTAACCATGAAGCCATGGAATTTACCATTGACCTTAATGATACCGTGGAAGTCATCGATGATCAGATGCTAGTAGCTCAGCTGACAGGTGCACAATATTTGCATATTTGCCCCCTCCCCCGCCACACCTCCTAACTGACCAATCACAGACAAGCCCAGACCACAGCTGAAAAATATATGTGAAGTTGTTTATCCACTATTTTTATATAGATATTAAACTGAGTGAGACCATACTGAAAGGATAAAAACATGTCTAGAAACTTAAAGGAACAGGCTTATGCCCAATCTTTGTGTTAAAACGTCCACATTTTCGAGCAACGTTTGGTATGTTGCTAAGTTGAAGAGTTTACGACGACATGTAAGAATTCTGGTCAAACTGTGGAAGATTCCTGGCTTTGTGGGCATATCGGGCAAGTCCCATAGATCCGTCAAGACTTCATGCTATCGTGGAAACATACATACGGGCATACTAACCTGAAAAGGCTCTGAAAGCAACAGAAAAAGCAGAGCTCTGACGAGCAAATCGAAACCACGCGGCCGCCATGTTGGAAGTCTGACAAAGTCTCGTCTTTTCTCGTGGTTAGAAGTTCACGCGAGATTCAGAAAGTGCTCGTCTATCTCCAAGCAGATGTACGATACGGCTCAGACTCAGTCAGTGTTGTGTCAGAATCACCCCTTTGTGTTTGTCTTCATGAAACAGTACCATTTCTTTTAGATTTAGTTCAAAGAATGTCGCATAACACTTCATAACACGCATAAATATACTTCATCTTTAGACAGTGTCAAAGATGTGCAAACAATACAGGCTAATAAAAATAAAAATCTTCAATCATTACACTGGAGAACAAATTTAGATGCCTGCTTGATTTTTTTTGCAGTTCTGTCCCAGCCTACTACATGTAGGTGGTGTGAATGCATTGCCATATGAAACCTCACAATAACAAGACAAAGATAATATTTTCTCAAACTTACTTAAGAGACTTTTATTGAGCAGAATACTGGAGAATCATTAGTATAGGAACAATTCATAGATGCAGAGATATCGTTTGAGTATTTCAAGTTCTAGCATGGGAGTTTTTTTTTGACAATTGTGTACAACACAACACAATATCAGTATCTATGTACCATATTCCCAACTTTGTACATATCACGCATTGTTCTAGTTGCTACAATATCAGAATGTTTACATACCACTTTGTTGACTAATGTCTATCATCTCCACCTAGCTCATCATTGGTGTGAAAATATTATCAAAATACAGCAAACATGCAAAAATCGCCATTTCTCTTTTCTATTCCTTTGTACAAGCTTCTCCTGTTCTTAAGGGTATACGGCTGTGTTTTGAGCTTTCAGCTGTTGTAAACTTGATCTGTTAAAAACATGGGTGCCTAGTCATATGTGTGCATGCCAAGACCATAATGTATTTTTCTCTGTTTTTGCGACCTAAAATTATACATACCAGCACTTCAAAGGAACTACATACATGTATAATCATTGTTTTGGAAAAAAAAAAACATTTGAGAAAACTTTATAATGATAATCTTTTACTACATCAAATTGATCAGTATTATATAAAATGTAAATAGTGAGAATATAGGGAATGGCAAGAACAATTACTCAAAGCAGTGTTTACATATACATGTATAACTTTCTTGTACTAAGTTAATACAATGTTACATGTATATCCTTCTTTGAAGACTTTCTATGCTATCACCTTAAAGAAAGCAGCCCATGCAAAACATTGTAAACTCTAATTATAACCAGTGACTTCTTAAGAAGTAGAATTTGAGGTGTATGTCCCAAGAAACTACCACAAGGCACAAGATCTAAACAAAGATTTGGATGATACCATTAGTACATTTTAAATGTGTCTTCTTTTTTCTACAAGCCAACTGTACCCAGATATACAAAATTCTATTCAATGGCTAAATTAGATACTGTATTCCACATTTCTATACAGGAACAAAAGCATCTGCTATCTAAAACATCACCACAATTCCTTCTCATATTTGTTGACCTATCTTCAAAAAATGTGGAAATCTCAGCCATCTATCACATCACAACAATATTATTTCATTTTTGCAGATAGGCAGATATGTACATTAACAAGCATGGACAAAAATGAAATGTCAATAAGGCTCTAATTCTTTAAGATCTTTTTAGTGTGAAAATATTTTTCTTTGTGTTAGTTAAGCCATAATTGCTCTACATTTGGTTTCCTTATATAATAACAAAGCCACCCTTTCTAGAAACATACCAGCTGCTGTTATTGACAAAAGCATAAATTCAAGAAAAACAGTGCTCTGACTTAAGAAATGGCCTTTGAGGCACTTTCTTTAATATATCACATTGAAGAACAGAAATTTCTTAAATCCATTTCTGAAAAATATCACACCAAGCAAAATTTTTCTTTTTTTGAGACGTAATATTTTATTACTGATTTTGCCTGTGCAAGTATGCTATAAGAGATCTAATGGGATTTAAGAGTGCATGGATAGGATATACTAGTAAACAGAGTTATGTTTCTGTGCTCTGAAGTATAGTGCTCCTTCATTGCTGCTGTTGTTGTTGATATGGGTTTGGATACTGAGAGGGGGGTGCGTATGGATTGTACGCAGGTTGAGGGTACTGGGGGGCGTACTGTTGTTGTGGGTAGGGTGGGGCAGCTTGCTGCTGCTGGGGGTAGGGCGGTGCTCCGGGCTGCTGGCCGTACGGTGCAGTAGCACCCTGCTGTGGTGGGGGCTGGTACTGCATGGTTGCATAGGGGTTGTAGCTGGTGGGCATGGGGGGAGGGCTGTAGTACTGGGGGTTGTTGTAGCCGTACTGGGGCTGCCCCGGCTGAGGCATGTTGAGCTGCGGCTGGGATCCTGCAGCTGCTTGCTGCGCAGGTGGCTGCGCCTGCTGCGGCTGCTGCTGAGGCTGCACCTGTGGGGGAGGGGGGCGAGGTGGGGGTGCCTTGGCTGCTCCGCCAGGTCCTGTAATAGATACAGAGAGAAATTCAGCCAAACTGCTATGCAAAAATATTGTTATACACCCTGTATATGCTAGGATATTCCGTCTCAATAATACTCACTCCTTGCTGTAACTGAATGTCAGAAGTTCACTCACTTTCTGTATCAATCATGCAGACAGTCAGCAGGTGCATTCACCATGTTATCTATTCATGATGCATAAGACAGTGCATTCAGGTAACTTTTCCTTGAAACTGCAGCAGAAACCAAGAACCGGTCTTGGTAAAGTTTATCTTTAAACCCCCAAAAGAGAATATTCACCAATTATTCTTAGTCACAAACCAGTTTTTTGATATTCCGGTGTGTTAGGGATATTGGAGGTTGGCTGCTGAACGATGCTGTCCTGTATATCTCTGTGGAAGGGTTAAAAACACATCAGGCTGGTAAGGGTTAAACGTTAAGGAAACATGACTAACCAGAGGCCTGGTAAGCGGGAGGAGTAGGGGCTGACTGAGACGGCTGCTTGGCAATGTTCTGCTGTAAGTCTCTGTGAGAGGAGCACAATACATTGGTCAAATCATCGTTTATACATGTAAGTCAACACACAACATGGTAAATTTTCTGCAACTTATGATCCACTCCTCACGTGCTCTATCTGTAAAATGTGAAGTGATGCATGGACCATTCATTGAAAGACTGGTACTGTCCGATCCAAAATGCTTGGGTAAGTCCAATTTTCCAGGCACACCACCCATTTGTACAAATACTTACTTAAGATGTTCATCTTTCTCTGTCTTCCGAGCAAAGACGATGTCGTTACACTTTGTCTGGAACTTCACAAGAAGCAGCAAGAGCTCGTTGTAGAACTGAAACACAGAGGGACAGGAGTTCAAGAAGTGTACTTCTTAAAAAATTGATTTTCAATTCATACTTGACATCTTGTTGTTCATTCACACCTTAATCCCACAACATCCCACTACCCACAATGCCCCCTTACCTTGGTCCCTTCTTCCAGATTACTAATCAGCTCCATAAAGGCATCGTGTGCAGCAGCCAGATCTTTCAGCTTCTCTTCCCTCTGGTTGACTGACCCGCTGGCCTGTTTCTGCTGACAGAACTCTGTGTTGGCAGTCTGTACAGGGAGAAATGAACGGGTATCAATGGTGCTTCCAACAAAATTCTACTTTTGTTTTATATATTATTTTTCCTTCTATCTTCTCATATTCTTAAGACAGTTTTCAATTTTGTAGAAGAGGACGTACCTAGCTGAATCTAGGTACTCATTTGCACCTGAGTCATATGATGAACTTCATCTTAAGTGCCTTAATTCCCAAGGGCACAGCACTGGGACCAGCTAGGGATTCGAACCCAGAACCTTTAGATCCCAACTCAACAACCCCAACCACAAGGACACCTGATTAGCTGCTTGTCCAGGGTAGACTCTGACCTCTGACCCACCTGAATCTTTCCCATGAGGCTCTCCTGCCTGCCGACACTCTCAGTGACCTGCTGCTGTAAGGGACCAAACATCCTGTCCAGCTCTCCCACCGACAGACTCTCCTCATTCACTACACCATCCTGTGCCAGCGCTGTCAAGAACTTGGAAGCTGCAGATGTATATTGAAAATGCCAGAAGTCACAAAAATGTCTGTATTGTAATGATTCTCTGGAACAAAATGCTGTAAAGCGTGAAATAATCACGGTGGCTTCATATTCTTGATTTTGGCAACGCCCTTTTACTGCAAACTTATATCCAAGTGCCAACAATGACCTCTGTCTTACGTTATGTTACTTCAGTGACCGTTTTACAAGCACACTAAAAATGCTGCGAATGCCTTCCTACTGTATGACTAAGTAGCCACAAATTTCAATCTACAGTATCTACAGTATTCCTGTGTTTTAACTGTTTCCTGGGGTTGAAAGCTCCCTTACAGATGTCAGACTTGGCCTCCTTGATCTCAGACTCGATGACGTCTCTCTCTGCCTTGATAGTCTCCACTTCTTCCATCAGCTGCCGCAGGTCTGTCACACACTGCAGGAATATCACAAGTAGAAAATCACTCAGACTGCAGGAAGACTTTCCTTCCCATGGTTTACATGTCCAGTCTTGTATTCTACAGTTTGGAGGAAAGCTGGTAGGGGGTACAAAATGTGATGTTTCTGCTCTATGGCCTAATCAAATTTCACTATACCAGTCAACAAACAATTCAGACTTTAACTTTTTTTCTTTATTGACTGTTTTTACTGCAATGCTAAAGAGAGCATTAGATCTCGAAAATGACATCTTGCTGGAAAAGTCCTATCACCTAACATCGTCACAGGAAGGTTTACATACAGTTGAAGCCAGTTTTACCTTGCTGCCTTGTAAGGCTGCCGCTGGGCTGGATGATGGAATTTTTCCTGGCAGTTCCTGGTAAAAGGGAAATAATGTGTAATACATGACTGTGTATGTAGATAACACATATGGCAAATGACATGTTGATGTCTTCTAGTTACACTTCATCAATGAGCTGAAACACGGAAAACACCTTGAATCTGCAGGTAGAAACGTGAGCCTTACCTCAGGCTTACACAGCAGGGTGATGTTCTCTGCGTGTTTGTTGTACTTCTCCCGTACGATGGCGTCCGCGTGGATGGCGTTATCCAGAATGGACTGGTACTTCCCGCCTTCCGCCCGCAGAGGACTGTATAGCTGGGCCGATGGCGTACGTGCCCACCGCTCTTTGAAGTTCGCCCGTAACTCATTGTCTGTTTTTTCCTCGTCGTCAAGGACACGATTAGCCTGGATGTGACAAAGCATTTGGTTGGATAAAGAACAACCATAGAATTGATTTGGATCTACTGAAAATATGAATCACAATACAAACAACATGATTATCTTGCTTCCTGAATTCCGCTATGGTGGCCTCCACCACATTCCTGCTGGCTCCTGGCCAGATTTAAGACCTTCACATATTCATTCTAGACCTTCATGCTTCTGCTGACCTTTTAAACTCTGCCTGTCAATCTTTCTGCCACCCATGAACTTTCAACCTACTCTGTCTGAACAAACAGAAACACAATTTCACAGCTCAGCCACTCAAAACAATACTTCCAAACAAACCCAGAAGTAACTACAACAAACCTCATCTAGAACCTCCTTGTTCCTCTGCAGGAGTTCTGGTAAGTCTTGGATGAGCTGGTTGATCTTGTCGATGCCTCCCTTGTCCTTGATGGCAGCTCCCTTGTCCAGGATAGACTGGGGGATGGAGTCTCCCGACAGGTCCTCGATCGCAGCGGGTAGATTCAGGGACGCCAGCACACTACACAGGAAGAAATAATGATAATAATAATTATTTCTTAACCACAGCAATTTTTGTACAGAATAGCAGGGCCCTGGGAATGCACTGGATCCTGAATTGCTCTGACATTCATACACATTGTTTATTGAGCATTAAAATCATTCGTCATTTCTGACTAAACATATGTTAGAAGCTCAATAAAATACTAGAATTATAAAATAATAAAGGATCTGAAAACAATGATCTACTAACATGACTGGAACCCTCATTTATAAGTTGATTAACCTTACAATATGTGGTATTGCACTGTTCTTGATGTCACATGTTGATGTTCCAAACCAATGCCCCACCAGGTAGTTTACAGAATTTTTTTCCACACACCTGTTCATGAGCTGGGTGGCCTCCCTCAGCCGTCCCACCTCCCTGTTCACCACGTCAGCCTTACGAGCTTCATAACCAGTCAGCGCCTGGTGTACCGCCAGGGGGACCAGCTTCTCAAACAGGTCTGAAAACACAAGACATATACAAACATCGTAAACACACATATGAGATCTTTCAAAATAAAGTTTACACAGGTTCTGGATTGGAATGCTTATTTTTGGTGCAAACATGCATCAGGAAACACACAACATACACAGACATCGTAAACAAACGTATGTGAAAGACACCAAAACGTTGGCCCAATAAAACACTTGGTTGTGTAAAAAGAGAAGATATACAGACATTGTAAACAAACGTATGAGGTCTTTCGAAATGCACTTTGCACAGTTTTTGGGTTGGAAATTATGTTTGGTTCTTTGGTGTTTTTGATATGTATTTTTTATGTTTCCAACTTAAGAATTACAACTTTTGGGGAAAACCTGTCATCACGTAAAATGTGTATATATGCTCAAAAACATATATATGCATCAACACTTGTTACACAGTGCAAAGAAATTACCTAACAGATCCAATAGACCACAACCTGGGGGATTTTAAAGCAAAATTTCGGGACAAGCCGAATGAAAACAGCACCTGTGGACTTGGGATTCATGGGTTTGGAAAGTGGCAAAGCCTTGGCCACGGCGGCTCGACCAATGGCAGGCAGGGTGTTGAGCTCGGGGACGCGGTCGTGGTAGATGAAGTTGTTGTCCTTGTCAGCGGCGTCATGTGCCCGCTGGATTTTCCCCGTGAAGTCCTTCAGGTCCATGGTCGACCCCGCCCTGCTGCCGCCCGTCTTTGCCAGCTCTAGGGCATGCTGGGAAGATAGACGGAAAAATTACTAGTATTATGTTTACCTAAGGAGAACATATTGTTTGTGCTCACTTTCTTCCTCTACTTCTTCTTCTGTTCCAAAAAAATAAGCTCCCCTATACGCTAAGGTGTGAGGAAGCCATGTCCATTTTTTCCACTTTTGGTAATATTTTGAGACAAGGAAATTTACATCGGGCTACCATATGACAGCTGCAATCCCTAACATTATGCTCAATTCAAACCTCCTCCCTTTGGATCCATGACTTTTGTTGTACAAGATTGATTTGTTGTCTCATGAGAAAGAATTTTTGTCTTGGACTGTACCTTGAGCCTGGCTATCTCCTCTCCGATGTTCTTGTTCTTCTTGGCCATCAGTGACATGTAGAACTCAGCCTGGGCGTGGTACATGGCCTGCTTGCCAGCCAGGGTTGGGATCCACTCCTAGAAGATAGAAACAGTAAAATCATCACATTGAATAACTGTTACAGTATTGTATACCACACTAGAACTATAGAGGTCTGAAACAAACTGGTCACTACAAAATATTACTAACAGACATGTCACCATTACACTTTGACTGACTATAAACAGACACTGCTACTGTCAATTACAAATCAAATGTACCGGTACTTCAAAAATATCTCTGTAACTACAACAATGGTGTGGTTAATACCTTTGGGAGTAAGTCTCCGAAGTGTGGGTTTTGTGCCTGTTTCATAGCATCAGAGTACAAGTCAGACGCCTGCATGGACAACTTAGCAATGATGGCTTCCTTCATCTTGTCTGCAAAAGAATATGATGGAAAAAATTAACTTTAGTATTCAAGTTTCCATGTAACTGGCCAAGGAAACATTTCTACTGCAACAGGCTTTTAGTGCCTTCTGTTTACTTAGCAATACCTCCCCATACAAAAGGTTACTAGTATTGTGCTTTGTAAGTAGCTAATATTAATAATGGGACTTCACTAAAGCTCGTATTTTAGCCAGGTTACCCCAGGATTACACTTCTCAAGTGATTCTTTCAATGGAGAGGTTGGACAGTTGAGGCTTATGCCTGAAGCTTCTTCCTACTTACAGCTGCTAGCAATGAAATCCTTTTGAAAAGTTTAGATCCTAGTAATCAACTCCTGAGGCATCACCAAGAACCTGGCCATGTCTGTCTGTATCTGTATCTGTATAGCCGGTATAACCGCCCTCCAGCATAACACGGCAGCTTTGCATGCACGTGGCGCAGCAGCAGCTGGTTATATTACAGCGAACGAATTGTTACACCTAACCTTTGAACATCTAACTTTAAACATTGTTTAAAGCTATCTAATGATAGTGCACCTACTGTAGTGGGTAACAGTGAGTTCCACTCTGTGATAGTTCTTGGAAAGAATGAGTTTTTGAACACTTCAATCCTAATTGATTGATAACTCTGGGTACTTGAAGGCATGACTTACCTTGTATAGACTTGAGCAGGATAGCCTCCTGTGCCTGGGCCAACATGACAACAGCCAGGGTACTCAGCATCTCCAGGGACAGGTCAGGGGTCACCACCTGCTGGAACGGTCCTGCCATGGAGTCTTTGATGTGTGTGAACACACCAGCAGCTTGCTGGGCACCCAGAAAAAAAATACAACTTTAGCGGTGCAAAAGCTCATATCAACCTCAGTGAAGTTAGGTAAGTTGTGTAAAGTGCCTTTCCCAAGGGCACAAGATCACATGGTAACATGGCAGGATTTGTACCCTGGACCTCTTGGTTCTGAATCAAACACTCTGTTATTACACCACATAAACACCACCCCTTTCAGTTATATGCAAGCTATTAAATCAAACTTTATTGCTATAGACATAACTGCTGATTCATTGACTCAGAGATTTTTATGACATACCTGCAGGTATTTAGCAGCGTTTTTCAGGCCGTCGTCAGCGCTTATGTTCTGGGCAGCAGCTATCTGACTCATCAGTGCCCCGATGTTGAACAGAACACACATCCTCTCATAGTCTCCAGATGACATGGCTGGAAAACAGAGGAATTATTCAGCTCACCTCATAATGATTGGAAAAACTACATGTTTACACGCCAAACAGAAATGTTAACAAAGTCTCCAACAAAATGGTCACTGCCCAAAATGCCACTCAAATAACTTACTCTTCTTCATCTTTCCCAGAAACAGCATTCCCTGGTCGAAGGCATCATACCAGGTGAAATTGACCCGGATCTACAACAACAACAACAACAACAACAGCAAATGAATACTGGTAAAGGTCAGATCTTTATATGAACAAATGCTCGCAATGAGCTAATGGCCTATGATTTACTGACATGCAAACAGGGATAGCAACATGGAGGCAATGATGTCACATGAACTGATCTACTCGGCCCATCTCAGAAAAGAGCTTCAGCATTAGTGTAGTTAAGACATCAGGATAGATTATAAGTGTAAAACAGCAGGATAGTTGTTTGATAGTGTTAAAGATAACTGGAGAACAGGCAATTGCAGTTCACTTCAACAATAAGACTAGAAAGATGACATACTTTTTGCTCATATCTTTAATGAACTTATGTTTACAAGGTGAAGGTAAAGGAAAACAAAAGCCACACACACACAGGTAACAGGCAGTTGGTGAAAGTGAATCTCCAAGCAGACATGAAGAGAGAAGATTGTAACATAAACTTACACATTTTACTGAGGGCTATGTGTCAGAAAAATAGGGATAGCCAGAAAACATTACAATCGTCCCTCCCAACATCTGCTTGGATATCCTGACCCTGACCTTACCTGGTAGGGGGTGGGGGGTTCGTCTTCCTGAAGAGAGGTCAGAGGTCACAGGAAGGTAGATTAAGAAACAGACGTGACAGAGAAAGGTAGAGGCAAAATGTGCAGTGTCAGCAGGGTGCAAGGAGGCAATGTCTGCAGCAAATTCCAGCTTAAAGTTTAATAACTTCTTAGTTGTACCCAAAGTATGTATATAAACTAGAGGTTTATGGTAAGGTCACAATTCCCAAAAGTCTATGCACATTGCAAATTTTTCCAATACCATATGCTCATCTCGAGATGTATAACTACAACATACCTGGTTCTCTGTGATCGGCAGCTTGGCTTCAATTGCACAAAGCTGATCGTAGTACCTGAGGAGGTAGAAGTTAGAAGAATTCATTTAAAAGATGACAGACCCCTTCAGAATGCGTAGAGCACCCTCTATGTAGCAGTTCAAAGCTGGGGTAGCCAAGTATTTGCTGGTGTGTTACATCAAAGGGTGGTTCTACCAGCTATACTGATACAGGTACCCCAGTGCACAGCATTTTAGGCAGCTGTAATAGAAATTACCTCAATTCGAACATTTATCGCAAATATCACAGCACCTCATTATGCATATATAATTATGGTGATGAAAATTTTGTAGATATAATGTACTAGCAAAAAGTAAGTTGATCCAAATAAATCTATTTCACACCAGCTGCAAGATATTCTGCAGTTCTTGTGAGCATGACGTCACGCTATATCAGGAGACGATTCTTCACTTCCGGGTGTGACATTCAAAAATTGTAGGAGAGGTTTCGGACCTTCCCAGCACAACAATTTGGGTATATAAATGCACTTAAATGCCAGATAACATGATATCTAGCTTAGGAAAGAATTGATCGCAATGCAAATATGCTGTCATTAGGCTCAAAGTACAAAAATTTGTATATTCTTTTTCGCACAGTTTCATGGTCGTGCATCATAGTGGCTATGAACAGACGATATTAGAATTAACATTCAAAGAAAAGCATGGAATACGTGACGCAAATGCAGACAAACTTATTATCAATAGTTGTCACACTTCTACAAAATATCAACAGATACAACAGGATACGAGATTAAAAGCTTTTAAATTGTGTGCAACAAATATTTCCTGAGATGGAAATAATTTTTCGTCATCTCACTTCTGGATGATCTCCAAGGAGCTGTCATGTCTATCCAGCGTCTTGCCCGTTGCAGACTCCCGCAACTTGTCCAGTTCCTTCAGCTGCGGTGTGAAGTCATCCTGGGTTCCCCCTGGCCCAGAGTAGGTGTTCTTGATGAATTTTTCCAGCGGTTTTACAAGGTCCACCGCTTGCGACTTCTTCAGTGGTACGGACAAAAACGACGACGCCATGATGGATTTTGACCGCACTCAAATGCTACAAACGTAAACAAGACTGTTCAACGATATTACACGGGGTTTTTGTAAGCTGAAGCGTAGATCACAAATTGATTTCTATTATCAAATTCCTAAACTATGTACAGAATAGATCCCTATGTCTATTCTTAAGGGAAGAAAGTGTTTTATAATGTATGTTATGTCAAAGACGTGATGATGCGGTGAATGTATTGACTGACGTCATGTGACCGTGACGTAATCGTCAGGAGGTGGGCGTGGCCGCTGACTCACCTTGCACTACCTTGCACGCGAAAAGTACTCACCTGTCTAACAATAAAGAGAATGATCAGTGCAAGCGTTCCATTTGCTATATTACGTATGCAGAATATTCTCTCGGATAGGTACCATTTCTAAAAGGATATAGGCAGCTAGGGGGAAATAGATTGCTGTTCAAAAACATGTTTTGAAATGGAACAATATTGGGGCGGCGAAGTTAGTTGACAGAGGTTTAAAATGACATTTTGTGTACTCTTTAAACAATAGTTGCACTATCGCAAATAGTCGCTTGGTTGTAAGTGGCGTAGTTTCACTGCCAAATACTGTTCAGTTTGTGTGGTTATGCGTTTTCAGGACACGACGCTCAACTTGTCCACTTTCAGCACAAAGAATACAAAGTTAAAACTAAGTTGCGATGCTGACTTTTCATAGCCATCTCTTTTGTGAATACCCTGTCCTCCTCTCTGTTGGATAACATTGTTGTCGTTAGATCCGTACCGTAGCAAAATAACGACACCTGGCGGCCGAGAGGCAAACTGATTCCCGACTTTGTCTTTGATGAAAGCGTCTTGTCGAAACTGGAAAGTGCCTACGGGATTATTATCATATCACGGTGCATGATTTGATAATGTCCAAGTACTGTCCAAGTACGAGTTATGATGAGTATACAGGCTAGCGTTCTCTCTGTATGTCTTTTACATTCTGTGTTATCTGTGTCGATCTCTGGCTACTGGAATTAGAGTATATAAGATATTTCTTTATTCTACATACTGCAACCATTTATATCCACGAGTACTATATCAAACCGGACGTCCGACTTCCTCTTTCTCTACATGTAATATGTACTACATCAAAAACTGTCCTGTACACGCATTCCCTACATAATCTAACAAAAGAACGGCCATGCCAGCTTTAGCCAAAAGGTAGAATTAAATACATGTAATCTCTAAGCTGCAGATCATGCGGTGGCAAGACAGTATCCATTGGCCGGCCAGAGGACCACTAGTGAGTTTGGCCAGTCGCCGCCCACCACATCCCTTTAGGTTGATTTAGGAAAGCCTGGTAGAGGCTAGGTAGAGGCTACTCCCCTCTCTTGTTTTCTAGCCTCTGAAGAGACAAGAGGCACCGTGTCATTCTCGTGACGTGTGGGCGGCCACAATGACTCGTACGGTTCTGGGTCAAGGCAAACTTTTATACGACCTCGGTGCAGAACTGCCAAAGTCAACTTTTCCGGCAGACTCGTCGGAAGCCGGCGGTGGCTGCATGGGAGTGTCCCCTAACCCCGCCAATGTAGATATAGTTTTGCCGCTCGTCCAATACTAGTCCTGCACATGGCACAGACTGGGAGGAGGGAAGGAGGCGCCACTTCCTGATCCTGTCCTTGTAACATATTGAGAGCTCTTCCTGTAGCTGGTGATCAGCTGAACTACTCTCGTTGCTAGTATATGAGCATTGACACAGAGAATAACGCAAGTCACTTTCCTGAAAATTGCCAGAATTTGCAAATTCAACGCCTAACTAAGGTAGGCCATGTTTTCATGTATATATGATATATGGCGTCTGTAATTGAAATGCAGCCATTTGTAAGGTACAAGTGACACGAGTTAATTTTATAATGGAGCAAAGCAGAATCATATGATATACATTTGTAGCAGTACCGTGAATGTGATACAGTCTGCATATGTTTATGTATGGAATATAGTATTGTTAACACATCGTGGTGTCTTTTATAATATGATTTGTTTGAGAATCATAAGTGTGAGTTTCGATCATGACTCGCAGAGGTGTGGGTTGTGGTTTATTTTTGGCGTGTTCTTAGGCTTTTTTATCGGGGTTTCTTTTTTGCACTGGATTTTTTTTTTGGTTGGGGAAAATCCAGTGCAAAAGAAACCCCTAAGGCTAAAAACCTGCCAAGCATAAGCCAAAACCCAAACCTCTGCTTGAAGAGTAAGCCCAATGAAGCCCACGCGGCTGACGCATGTTCCAGCCCTTGCGGACACGCCCTCCATTCTGTCTTCCCGGGTTCGGGCTGTAATTAAGAACGCCCCCTGCCGACCACCTACTGTGACCACACCCCATCTTCGACACACTTTCACTTTACGAGCTTTCTGACTGACTCACTCCGCCCATCATTTCGATTCATTGCCCGTGATACTAGTAGTTTGTCACACTTAGGACACACGTAACGCGTAGGATTGAAAGACATTGCAACATGAATGAGCTAGTAGTAGACTTCGCACAGTGAAAAAGAGGGCGAAACTTAAAAATCAGGGAAACTTGATTACGAAAGTGTATTTTTGCAACCTTCTTGCAACTGAGAAAAGGAAGAGCTTGTTTTCCTTGAACGTTTGCCATACAAGTGATGATAAGTTCATCCCAAGTCCTTATCAAAACAGTATATCGGAATCAAGGTGCTTCAAGTCGTTCCTTGTACCATGCAAAGTCGGAGGAGGAACCTTTTTGTGACATTTATCTAGATATGACATTAGAGTTGCTGCATGCCATAGTAGTATCAAATGATAACAAGAAATTGCAGTACATTTGTAAATGAAATGAAATGTCAGTATATTGTACAGTAGAGTAGAGTATCAGACAGATTTCCTCATCCAGAATATTCTTTTTGCCGCCCTGACAATGCATTATAGTCTGTGTGCCCTAGCCCTGCGTCCTTGTCCTAGGCCTGGGTTTGAGGCTACCTGACATTGAATGATTGTTCTATGCTCCTCACCTGTTGACCTGGCTAGTGGCTAGTGGGGGCCCTGGCCACCATGCCACCCAGGACGTCAGAGAAAACATCCGTTACCTACACTTCAGCAGGAGTTCGTTATCGGTCAGACCATCTGGACACACGATCCCAAAATTTCTGGGCACATTACTTTGGACTTGATTCAAAGCAAATGTGTCAGTCGCATAACCTGATCAAAGCGCCGAGGGGCGAGAGCTCGACACAACCCTTGATAAATTGCATCCTGATTTCTGTGGCCCCTCTTGGTCACCACGATACCGCCGACACAGTGTCGGACTGTAACACACAGGTGTTAAGAATGTTCCAATATTTGTGTAGTACAATGAGGTCACCGCCCGAGGGCTTCGCAAAGAACAACCCACGAAAAGTTTCGCAAGCAAGCAGTCAGTTTAGACCGCAAAGCGCACGCGGTGTCTATTAGACTCTAACAAGTACATATGGTTCGAATAACCCCCAGAACCAATACTTGCAAGGAAGTTAATAAACTACAAGTTGGGCATCACAAGTTGTCTTTGTGTTGCTGCATACCAATATGTACCAATTGAGGCGTGACCGTTGACCCCTAGACCGGGGGTGGCGGGAAAGACTACAGACGATAAAAGGGGTGGAGTCTGGGGTAAACTACCACCCCCGCAAATCTTACTCGGTCTGAAGTTCCCTTTTCTGTCGCACTGGCACTCACGCGGGAGTTTTAGGTGTTGTTAGGTGTGTGACCAGGATTCCGGCGGCAGCAATGTTTTTGTTTATAGGGAAACTCCGGTTCCTCTAGCTCGGCGGGAAACACCTCCCCTAGCGACATAAATCATACGTATTATCTGACGTGTTAGGCTCAGCCAATCAGGGCGGACAGGGGTCAAGAGAAAAATCCACGTGGGCTTTTCAAAGTCATAATTAGCTCTCTACCTACAGCGTTCGCGCCAACAAGAAAACCTTTAAAATATTTGAAAAAAATCGCGCGCGAGTTAAAAGTGGCAAGTTTTGCGCTCTACGGTAAGTTGAATGTGTGTTCTACTGCTTTAAAGTGTTTTTGTTAAGTTTTCGCGGCTCCTAAGGACGCTGTGAGGCGAAGTTTGTGAGCGGTCACACTACAAAATGTCTGTTTACATTACGAAGAAAGGATTGCCTTTGATATGCCGACTTCTTTCTTCGCAGATTCTCTGATTTGACTCACTTTTTCAGGACACAAGTCGGCCAAAGGGATCCGATCACAGCACAAGCAAGACAAAGTCTGCCGTCAGACGTCAGTCGCGGGACCTGGCAAGTATATTCAGGGCACTTTGGAGGGAAAGTCTGGCGACTTCTTTGTCGTTCTTTGCCCCGGAAAAGATCGACTTCGCCGGGAGCATGCTCTGGGACTTCAGAAAGGGGCCGTTCGGGGAGGATGTCAACAAATGCATGTGATGAATGAATGAAGACTGAATGCATTGCTGAGATTTTATGAATGGGAATTTTTCCGAGTCCAAGGCCGCAGTGATTACGTGGTGACCGGGGCAGTTTTCGGATCAGCTGTTCAGGGCTTTGGGTCGGTTCCAGGTCGGCCCGTTCAACCGGGGAAAGCCGTCAAAATTTTACCTGGAATGCGGAAACATTCGATTTGGGGATCCCCAGAGAAAACAGAAATATATGCAAGCCTGTCCTAGCAGTCTAAACCTGACACATGCTTCAAAAACTTTGTTGTAACAAAGAGTTTAAGTTGTGAATCCTGCATTGCGGGGGCCCGTTTAGAAAAAAGGAACCAAAATTCCTGCATATTTTGATTTGAGATTTAAATTTACATGACAGAAAGCTTGCGGGTCGTCTGGTAGCGGCGTGGGCAGAGGTGTAGACCGGCCGGTTTTGGAGCGGGTTTTCAGTGTGTGTGGCCCCGTGCGCCGCCGGATACTGTTTCACAAGGGCTCGCCGCCCGGTCACCGCGTGGTAGCCGGAGATCTCTCGGGACAGGACGCACTCACCCCCGAGCATGGAGACGGACCCGGACCCAGGCACGGAACAGTATGAAAAAGTTGCGAAGATCGGGACTGGTGCCTACGGGACTGTCTACAAGGCTAGAGACTTGAAAAATGGGGGAGAATTTGTAGCCCTGAAGAGGGTGAGGGTTCAGACTGGTGAAGAAGGCATGCCGATGTCCACCATTCGAGAGATCGCCCTCCTCAGACAATTGGAAAGTTTCGAACACCCAAACGTTGTCAGGTAAGCAAGACAGAACTTGTACAACTTCCATGTATCAAGGGTTTCCCCCGAATCTTCCCCTTTTTGTACCCCTCCTGTCTTTGTCATGTCCTATGCGGTATTCTGCCCTCCCCTCTCCCGGAACCTACCATTTCATCCACAACAAGTGATGCAATAAAAAAACGCACTTTTTATTTCTCGCAGTCTTAAATGTTTCTTAACATTCCTTCCAACTAACTTTGTTACTTCAACTCTTGACTCCAGCGATTTTTGCAGATTTACAGCTGTAGGAGTAACAGAATGTTTTGCCTAATTTTGTGGACTGACCCCTTGGAATATCCTTTGTTCTGGACAGAATTGCACATGGTCGCACTTTGTGTATTGTACAGCATGGAGACATAAGGCGCCCACTATTGATTATAGGTTATCACATGAGAGCTGCTTGACCTGCCAGGACCCCATCGAATAGTATCAACGCTTGCCTTTCATTTTCGCAGCCAAACGTTGCTTTCGCCTTTGTCCGAACCTGAGTTGTCAATCCTATTTAGCCTGTCGGTTGCCATGCCAACGGTGTCCCTTTTGCTACGGAATCCACGGAATTCTCATTGAGAAACTGCGGTGGATCAAAATATTATGTACAAGCGATTATGTTTCCATTAGGGAGTTATCGATTTTGGCTCAGGCATATTCAAAATACGTCGATTATGAGTGAACTTTGGTATCAGTTTCAATTATTAAGTCAGCAGTCACAAGTTGTTGTTAGCCAACATCAGAATCAGTCAATGATATCAACATGTGATAACTTTTGCAATAACATATGGTAGACACGGGGGACATATTTGCCATATGTCTGGTATGCCACTAGTCAGAACAATTGTGGTATGATATTTTAGCACAGCATTATCACATACATCAGCGGCAGTGTGTATTGAACTATGTCTATATGATAAGAAGGCTTTGATGGTAAAAGCTGTGGTTCTTGCCTTAGGGGCTTATACATACAATATTGCATATTTCAGCTCAGTAGGGGTGGCTTACACAGATTCTTGTTTTGACAGTGAATCCCTCTAATACCGCTGATATGAGACTTTCCTAATCTGTCACTGTTTTAACCTTTTCCCTGCTAAGGTAGCTTATCGGATATGAATTTTTATTGGTTACAGGGTTAGTGCTCAGTTTTGTTGTTTTTTATGAAGGAAGTTATGTTTAACCCTGCCATCGAACTGGACATGAAGCTAATTGAGCAGTAACACATTTCTGAAGTGAAAAATAGGACAGATCATTTTTCAAAGTTGCAGGAAAGTCATAAGCCAGCAATGTCTTGTGGTTAATGACTAATGTCATATTTATCTCTCTGGACAAGGTTGTCAAGTTCAACTACAAAGACAGGAATGTTGCACGCCACACCTAGTATTAACAAGGTCAAGTTCACTTCATAACTATTGTGTTATAAAGGCAAAAGGTCTTCACATTCAGCGTGCCATAGAGCATTGTCTTCTCCATATGGAGACAGCTGAAGGAGCATCTTGAAAAAGTCATATTTTGTGCCAAGTCAATAGGTTCAGTCGGAGTGTAAGACCGATTTCAAAGTCGGGTGTTTTTTCAGGTGGGAGTTTGCGTACATTCAAGGTTGAAGTAACCTTCTTTTGCAACACTTTGGTTCATTGTTCAGGGGTGGGATAGGTGCCACTTGTGCCCTGAAGATGTGCTCTCTGCTCCCAGTAGCAAACTTTTCATTAAAGGGGAACATGATAATGGCCACTCAAGAGCTGAAGAGGTCGTTTTGAAGAAAAGGCAAGAATGTTTCAACCGTGGGAACGTCTAGTTTATGTTGAGTTTCTTTTGAGACTTGAAGGGAAGTGCCAGTCTTGGTTTGGGCAAGGGACCTGGCTGGAATGCCATGTTGTGAAAACAAGGTATTTTATGATGAAAAGAACTAAATGTGGACAAATAGTAACAGCCGTGTGTCGAACTTTAAATGATTGAGATTAAGTGTTGCAAAGTTCTGCTCAGATTATAAAAAAATGCTCTCTATACTAACAAAAACAAGGCAAAATCGTTATTACGAAAAATTTGTCGCTGGATGTGATATTCAAGAAGAATATTGATAATGAAGTCGATGATAAGGCACCTTTGAAAACTATATGAAAGGCAATGTTAATAATCTGTAGAATGGTAAACATAAGGTCAGCAAAGCTGCAACTTGTAGGTAAAATAGCCTGATACATCTTACCCATACCAGTATTTTTACAGACATAAAGAAGCTCCATCTGTACAATTATTCTGGAAACCATATTTTAAGGCTGAAGCAACAATGTCTGTTGTAATTACAACCAAAACACACCTGTCCTTTTTTGAGTCTATACTGGATTGAACTATCAACATACCAACAAAAACTAGGTCTATATGTTTAGCCACTATATATAGCGACTGGTGAATGCTCTCTTTAAAAGTTTAAATCCCCTATGTCAGCGGATTATCCCATGATGCATTTCCCTGGTAGGGTACTAAGCCGCCCATCAAAGCTTTGTGTATTTCTACAATCTGCGACATTAGTTTTGGCAAACAGGACTCCTCAGTCCCTTATTTTGCCTGGAACAGTGGGGGGAGCTCCGGCAGAAACGGTTCTTTGTTGTCGGAGAGTTTTGCCCAAGGCTGCGCAGGTGATACAGATTACCTGGGTGTCACCTGGTGTTGGCGGACTTTGGTGGTAAAATTAGGGATTTTAATTGGAACAGCCTCCGCTTAGTTCAGAGTTGTGTCTGGGTGGACTGATCATTAATCTTGGCACATCTGTCTGGGGTTTTGACAAAGACGCAGGAGCACTGCAGGTGAATAGATGGCTGACTAGAAAATGAAATGGTGGACTTCATCCCTGGCAAACATATCCAAGAAAAGGACATAAAGTAGCAGGAACATAACTAGTCTGAATTTCTGACAGCTACAAATTGGTATTTAAACCTTCTAACTGTAACTCCCTTTTACTTGGCACTGTCCAAGTTATGTTTTATCCCTCCTTCTTCTTACTTTATATCATCTTTAAATTTTTCATCTATTCTCACGTCATTTTTGCTTTTCTTTCTGTTTTCCGTTTTCGTCTGTAGTCAGATTTATTAACCATAGTCTAGAAGCTTGTTTCACTTTGTTTTTGTCCGTGGTGCTAAAATGTAACTCCTGTGGTGTAAGTTCCAATTTCCTACAGCTAGAGTCTAAACGAATCTGGCAGGGAGTGAGGGACTATAACAGCCATATTTTGAGAAAAAAAGTTGTTGAAACTTCCAGATAGAGATTGTGTAAGAAGTTGTTTTGTTCCACTGTGTGGATGACAGTTCTGCGTAGGACGCAGGTATTTAAACCGCCTCCTAAGTTAATATTTGGGGGCTGATTGTCTCCATGGCTAACACACATAAGATAAGTACGCACGGTCAAACAGGAAACACGTAATTAGTGGGGAGGCCATAAAGTCATTTCTCAACTCTCTGTTGTGTTAGCTGATGAATACTTTCATGAATTGTTGTGATCAGATACTTGCTTGTTTGTTTTTTGTCTTTTTTGTCCTCCTTGTATCATTACACCAATGGTATGTGCTATTAAAAGGTCTCAAATGTAACTAAAACCCAATGCTTTAAGCTGATTCATCTCTTTTTATGATACACATAAACACCCATGTGTTGACATTTGCTGTAGAATTATGGTTGTTTTCAATATCAGAAAGGGAGATATATAAACTCAAGTTTTCTGTAAAAATATGAAATTCACTCAAGGCGTTCTAAACTTTGATACTACTTCAGATTGTATCCACCTTTCTTTGAGTTTGAACAGTCTTGGAAAAAGAATACATAGTTGTATTTTTTATGTTTACTTCAACAGTTATTTCAGAAAAAAGATATCTGTTCAACAAATTAGCTTTCTTTCTTGACCAAAGATAGGCCAGCAAACATCCCTCCAATTATACTATTATCACACAGGGTTTACAAAGTGGCCCTGCTTTTCATTGTCCTCAGACTCAACTAGTCTCATTACGGCTCATCACAACTTCAACAGAAGAAAGACCCTTTTCATTTACATAAAATGGCTTTCAGGAAATTTTATACACCAAAGATGACTGTCATACAGAAGCCTTCAGTGCAAGATACTTCTAAGAATCGTAAATTCTTAGGATTATGACTCAATTAAATGGTTCTATCTGCTGGATCGCCAGCCAATCAATCAGATTGAGTAGAAAAGGGTTTCAAGATGCAGCTTTTAGCCGTGCTGTAATAACGCTAATCAAGTACATGTCGTTTGAGGTGTGTCATTTGGAGGTCATTTGGAGGTTGGTTGTCAATTTACGTCTTGGCCCAAAGGCACGTGGCATTATGTAAAGGGCCCATTTTTAAACGTCGGTACAGAACTGGAGTGCACGACTCACGGGGGCAAGCATGCGGAAAGGCAGATGGGGGATACCGGCGCAATGATGTCATCAATTCTGATCGAGTCATTAAACCCGAGCAACGAGAGAGCGAGAAGTGTCACACAAACACTAACAACCGCTCTCACTCCGACAACATAATACACTTGATTGGCATGGTTTTCTTCTGTGGTATTTTGCTCGGCTTGAATTTACCCCGAGTCGATTGGCATACCAGCACCTTTTCATATGGAGATGACCATCTGCCATAGGTAGGAGTGCAGGATTGAAAGAATGTAACTCGCCTTCGGGCAGAACAAAGGCAGGTGATAGCCTGGACACGACGTCCCGTACACTTATACCACGGAACACATTAGCAACCTGTACCAGCGTGTTATTGTACACCTTACTGTAAATAAGATTTCTACAGGGCACATAGTTGTGGTACAACGTATCAGAGAAACAGTACAGATTCATTCCAATGGCTGGGAATCCGAATGGTATCAAAAACTTGAAAAAGTTACGTTTTGTTAGTCTGACACCTGTTAGCATAAACTTTATGATCCTCAAAGACTGTTATAAAAAATGGACCAATGGAGATTTTTAAGCTAACTTTCAGTGAGTCACAAGG